CTCTTTTGTTCCCATTCAGTTTCCGCTCTAAATGAGGAACACCATAATAAAATTAGCTTGTGCAATTATCCTGACGAGAATGCTCCATCAACTTGCAAGTCTATTAAGTATTCCTTGCGCACTCACTTAAAATTTTGACAAGCGAAAACTTGTCTAGTCCTAGAAGTTATTTATTTTTTGTGAATATTGATGAACTGACAGTTTGTATTGTCAGGTCAAATGTGACTAGCATCTGTTACATATCCAATGTCTGGTCTCTGTGGATGCGCTCATGGTGAACAAACAACAGCAATGGCTCGAGAGCTGGCTGTCCATATGTCTGCATAAACCAGACACAAATAATCATGATTGATGGTTATGTAATGATATAAGTTGACTAGTTGACTGTACAAGACACATTTGGCAGTTTTGCACTATGACAAAACAAATGTGATGTAATAACGAGGACACATTTTGGTACATTGTCACCTGAAAGCTTGAAAGCAATACTTGTAGCACCAAAGGCATAACTTTAAATTCCTAAGGTGAACAAGTAATATTGCCGCCATGATGATGAAGTTTTTCATAACGACAAGTCTACTACAACTTGTACTATACTTGTGACTAATATTATTTATACTTTAGTTCACATATGCAAGCACATCATCAAAATTAGGACCAAATTAGGACCAAACTGAAACAAAAGTGGGAACTAAACCTAAACTAGACAAGAACAGGACCAAACCTTCATCGGGACTAAATTCAACACAAAAACCACACCAGCACATGGTTTTCCACAAATATGCACTTAAAAATGAACCAAATGTTATGAAAGAATTTGAAATTTGTTAAAAGTAATGTAAGTAATGTCACTACAGTTGCCATTACTGCATAGACTACTACTTACAATATAATATAATAATATTATATTCATTGTTAATAAAATAATATGAAAAATGTTACAGCTGCTATTGGTACCATGATAAAGTATTTCAGTGCTATTAATGGCTCCTACAACTATTACAACTCCATATATATTGTACAATTATTATACTCAGTATATAATTATTTGGCAACCAGAATCTCTTACCATTTAACTGCAATAATGTACAAAATACAGTCGTTGTCTAGTTTAAAAATTCCCAGCAGCCATCTTGCAAAATACACCATAAAATCCTACATTCATTGCCACCAGTCTGTTATCTCAGCCAAAGTGCAGATGATGTGAAGCGAAACACATCCTTACACTTAGCCCTCCACTCAAACGTATAGTAAAGCACTGCTCCTAATCTTGCAGCATCCTCCCATGGGCCCCATTGGAGGACAGCCAAGTAAAGAATCTTAAATAACCACTGACCTTAAATTCATCGTAACTAATTGACAATGAAGCCAGAAAACACACTAAAACTACACAGGAGGTAACTGCAAGACCGTCCTACTACAGCTGGGCAAAGATTATTTAAATGTAATATCCTGTTACTATGCAAAGAATGATAACTAGACAGTAGTTTACCATATGCAATATCCTTGTTTGTGTGAAAATGCTGCTGTAAAGAGCAGATTTCACTGGAATTGCCAATCTCAACTGAATTTAAGGCATACAATAGCTGTTAACTTGAAAACTACCACTTGATGACATCACAAGGTGGAACAGAGTATTTTGAGCTTTGGAGATGTAGACAGAAGTAAATTTTATGTAAAATAGGACCTTTAAAAAGGAGTAGACAGAAATTGACTAAATTGACCACATATACTTCACTTTTTTTTTTATCAGATTCAACACTTTGTTGCAGTTCTAAGTAGTGGCTTTTCTTTTGGCATACTACTGGCAATGGCATAGTGCTATTTTAGACCTTGTTTAGCCCTAGTTTAGACATACTATAGTGCTGATACAATATGGAAGTATTCAGAAAGAACAAATGTTTTTGTTTTTTTGAGAGTCACTGAAGTAGACAATGTATTTTAAGATATTTTTCCACCTATACTGCAAACTGTAGCAAACTGCAAAACCCTCTCTACCCTGTCTGACTAGTATCATGGTTTTATCCTGACCTACGCCTGTGAACATTAACACCAAACTGAGCAAACAACATGAGGTGTACTTAAGCCCCCTGATGCTCTGCCACTTTGATATCTAGGGCACAAATCGGATGGCAGTGACAGATTTAGATACAAAAGATTAAACGCCAGAGTAAGGCAAAACCCAAATATTTTGTCAAGCTGATTCTGGTCTTTCTCCTTGCATGCCATCTATAGATCAAAAATCTATTTCTATGTTTTTATTTGATTAGAGAGACAATGTAGACTCTACTTGACTGGATAACAGCAGCTGAATGATGTTTGCTATATCAGGTGGCGTCATGAGATCAAGGTCATGGCAGGGGGCGCTGTAGGGGGGGGGCGATTGTGATGTGTACATGTCCAATCATGCGAGGGAGACCAAAGTGCCAACAGGTCGACTGACTCAATATGGCGTGGCGCCCCACACTGCAACCAGGGGACTAGCCCTCATCAGGAAGATGGGGCAGTTTAATTAAACACCGCAGATCGACTTTTCCGGCATGATGACAGATAAAGGAGACCAAAATGGAAAATTAAGGAATGAAAAACTGCAAGCCCAGTGTAAGAAGTTAAAAGTAACTCTGAAAAAACAGATGTAGTGTCTGTCTACTAAATAATATTCTAGTTCAGGGGTAAATATTCTGTAAATTACATAATTGCAAATACTTTGTTAATGAACAATTGAACAATAATAAACAAACTGCTCTTCAGCAGGAATTTACAATCTACTATTCATCAAATGAATATATCATTCTTGAAACAAAATCAGAAGCTTTGCATATATGAACTCATCAAAATTGCTCAAACCTGCCAACTTGAAAACTTTATAACCCCTTTTTCTAAAATCTACCACTCATCATCATCTTCCACCACTGAACGATAACCTTATGAAAAAGCCTCACATCATAATAACATAATGAATAATGTATCAAGTCATGTGAAGGGTGGTGGAGGTCCTCCATAATGAGCGATTTTGCGAGGTCGCACTTTAGTAACCCAAGCAGGCCTTCTCAAGTCTGTATTTGTGTGAGAGAGAGATAGTGCTGATTCAGTAGGGAGGGCTGAAGGTGACCCTCTCTTCCCTTGCTGCTGGTCTCACCACCTGATATTGATCCCACTTGTCCAACTCAGATCGCACTCAAGGATACATGGATTCATTGCCTTCTTGACATTTCAAATATGGCACTGTGTAAATGGTAACTCCTCACAGTCTCATTGATTAGTTATTGATCACTGCCTCAATCAGAGTCCTAACCTTCTAACGGATAATCTAGACTGGAGGGGCCCAGACTGTGTGTGTTGGTATGTATGCATGGGGAGCAACGCCAGTGTTTGTTATTGTTGCTGAAATTTCATATGAACTGTGGGGGAGGACTAAGAATAGATGGGCGCACAAGAGCAGAATCCAAATGTACAGGCTAGGAGCAAAGGTTTGGACCACAGATGGAAGACTGGGGATGCGTAGCCCTGCCCTGCCAAGGGTAAACTGCCTCACTCTGTCCACACACATAGAGAGAGAGAGAGCACACACACTTTGTTTTTACCACACCTTAAAACAGCTGCATGAATATGGATAACGCTGAAGGACACAGGAGGTACATAATTAGACAATCAAGTGTTCCCGGATGACATGCAACTCTACAGAGGTGAACCACAGCATCCTCCTCTCTCATTAGCAGCAAAAGTGTATTCATGTTTGAGTGCTGACATGTATTTTCACTTAGTGTTCCTTGAAACTTGATCAAGAGGCACAAGAAGAAAATAAAGTTAAGTATTAACAGGAAAATTTTTGTGGTTATACTGGTGCTATATATATATATATATATATATATATATATATATATATATATATATATATATATATATATATATATATATATATACATATATATATACACACACACACACACACACACACACACACACACACATATATATATATATATATATATATATATATATATATATATATATATATTTATTTATTTATTTATTTATTTATAAGCGCAACCTTGGCTATAACAAAGCAAATATTCAAAAATTAGACACACACCCTAAACTAAAAGAAACAGAAACAGTGACAAACACACACCTCAAAAATTCAAAAATACTTTCCGTGACTCCGTCTATTTTTTACACTACAGTGGTGCAGGTACCAAGAGCGTGAGGTACTGTTTCAGATTGAATTTAAGGACATTACAGCAACAACTAGATATGCAAGTAATTAGAATGATACCTTAGTAAATATAAGCTATAAAACAATGAGCAGGTATAGTGAGATGGATGAAATTATTTCTTAGCATAATCCGATGCCACAACAAACTTTCTTACACTCCTGTTTGCATTCGCCACATGACCACAGTTCACCTGTTCAAAGCTTATCCCGTGATCTGCCCCCATCATCACAAACCCCCATAGCCCCGTCTCTCTCACACTTGGCAAACACACAACACTCTCATATTTCTCTTATTTGGGAAAAGTACTGACCTGCCCTGGCGCTGGCAGACACACATTCTCTTCAGGCAGTTCAGCCTTTCAAAGAGGATCCGTTTGAACGCGTCTATATACATTGACCTGGCTGAGATTAGACCACGTGAAGAAAAAATATATAATTGTTTAATTCAACCGGTCCGGGAATGCACTATGAATGCACCCCAATGAGTGGCTGGATCCACTGTGTCCGATCAATGTGAGGCGATGTGCGCAGCAGACAGCGTGTTTGGACACTACTGATGCTCTGAGCCGCGGTGATGTAGAGACAGAGAGAGGAGAGAGAGGCACACACGAGTCTGTATTGGGCAAATCTGACAGCGAGGGGACACTTATAAATTTAGCACCTACTGCGATGGGCGTGAAGCACAATTTACAAATGAAATAATGAACACATGCTTGATCTCCAAACTTCCTGGACTTAATGTCCCAAACACTAAACGTGGACTTAGTTTTGACCCAGTACTTACCGGCTTCATGTTCCCTTTGTCCTGGTCAAATCCGCATGTTCTCTGCTCTTAGCAGAGGATAACCTTCTGGTGCAGACTTCGGGTCAATATATCCTTTCCATTTTTTCCAATAACGGAGTGGGTCACAGGGCTAGTAAGATCGCATGGTCCTTGTAGAGGTGTCTTTGAACTGCAGTCCGGACGGCGCTCAGTGCACGAGTCCCATATGAACGGATCAGTAGGTTGAACAGGACGCAGTGCAGGTTAAAATGTAGACAACCTTTGAGTTTGATTTACAACTACACCTGGAAACGAAGACTTGCATTAAACTTAGAGAGTGCAGAGAGAGGGAGTGAGAAGAGTTAAAAGAGCCACCCCTTATTATGAGATCCTGTGCGAAGTACCTGCATCAGCAGCATCTGTTGTCGCGGACAGATAGTACCCAAGGTGTGACAACCGCGTTTAACACGTGTTTCAGATGAGAAGATTGGCGAGAAAACAATTGGAATAGGCACTTTAAACGAATAGCAATGTAAAAATGCCACTACTAATGCACACCTCTTTAGATACGCAGTTGTTGTAAACTGATTTCTATAAAGAATATTTTGTAGCCAACACCACCTGGATAAAATGTCACAGATATTAAATTCAATCACAGACATTTAGCCTACTCTTTTTTAACAGTCATTTAACATAACATGTTCAATAAAGACGTACAAAAGGGACTTTGCTTTTAGCGCGCCTTGTCGCTTTAATTTGGATGCATTGTGGGTAATGTCGTTTAAAGAGCCAATAAACCATAGCAATCACTCGGAATAAAACTACTGCTACCATAATCCTTTGCGCTTTCATTGGACAGTTCCAAACAACAATGGCGTCGTACAACGACATGGGTGTCGCGGGGACCGGTGGTTCCGAAGATCAAGACGAAAAGAAACCGCACACCGTGTCGTTTGGCTTTTCTAAAATACTCAGCAAGTTTAAACCATCCACTGCGGATTCTGCTACAAAGAAGGAGGAGAGAGATTATCTGACGGGAATAGATCAGAATGAATTACAAAGGTAGCTAATGTAAAGGTAGCTAGGTTAGCTAATGCCAACCAGTCATCATTTGTAATAGTGCGGACCTCAACATACTTGAGATTGATTTTTGCTATTTTTTTTCCTAATAATGTGTCAAATGAGCTAATTTTTGTTTCATTTGTTGCTTCGCTAACTCTGTAGCTTTTTTTCTGTTGACAGTACGAAGCCACAGGAAAAGCCCAAAGAACTGATCATTCCCCTGATCCAGAAGAACCACTGGCACAGACCGACCAGTACGGGACAAAATGAGACAAAGGTCAAGAAAGGGGAAGAGGTGACCCAGGAGAACGACTCTATGGTGTCTCAAGCTGTAAAAGAACTAATAGAAGGTGGGCATTCCTTATAGGATATCCTATACATTGGTCCGAACCTCAGTATAGGTGTGTGTGAGTAAAGAATGTACTGTGTTGAAAAACCTCTAGACTTAATGCATTAATTATTATTGCTCATACTAATGTCTCATAGATTCCCGGAGACAGCTGGACCAGTGGCAAAATGGTACTGACTCTGAGAAGCATGTTAACCTGAGTATCCCCTTACTGATGCAAAACAAAGTACCTGATGGATTTGAGGAGGGAGATCATATCAATGTAGACTTGAGGCCTGAATCTGTGAGTATGAAAGATGCTAAAAACAAGCTCTGTCATGTCTGAATGTCTTTAAACCCTCTCTCTGAATGCAACCCAATTATACATTGTAAATGTGACATTGTACTTGTATTACATCATGATACTACATATATGATAACATTAGTAATAGTTCTGGTACTGTGAAACAACATTTTCTCATACTGGGCGTCTCCTTCTCATGTTTCTTGTATAGACTGCTAAGTTTTACATTGTTATGACAACAATATATAACCTTGTTTGACGAGTGTCCCATCTGTGAACAGTTGTGCTTTTAGATTGGAACAGAAAGCTTCAGGGGTTCTGTTTCTGTTAAAAATTCCTGACAGTACAAAATGGTGTGAGATTGAAATTTGAGTGTGTGGAAATGCTGACTGTCAGCTACAAGGGATAACACCCTTGTGTGCATACGCAGCTCTATGCCTGAGAGTACTGTGGTCTGATAGAACACTAACGCTTCAGACAGGCATCAATACTGTCCCCAAAAACCTGAAGGCAACCAATCTTACTTGTTTTTCTGACAGTTTTAAACATCTCATCACTGTCATCTCATATCAGCACTCACTGCAACTGGCAGAAGAGTCAGGGGAAACTTCACTTTACTTCATTGTGAGCTTTTCTCTGATGCAGAAGTAGAGAAAGACAGGGGCCTAACCCTGAGAGCCTAAAGCTGAAAAGCTGAGTAAGACCAAAGTCACTGCTATCTTCTGACTGTCCGTATGCGCTGTGTTTTGTAACTGGTTACATAACAATCTCATTTAGCCTCTCTAAATTAATGTATTAGCGGCATCACATATGACAGCTTAAGCATTAAGTAAATACTTGGTTGTATGCCTTAATCTCTCACCTATGTTCTTTTATGAATATTTTCTCTGTAGATTTAATATTTAAAATGTTAAAAAAAACATATTTTTTAGTCCACAGAGGCAGATTATGAGAGTGTCCCTGTTGAAGCTTATGGACTGGCTATGCTGAAGGGGATGGGCTGGAAAAAAGGAGAGGGGATTGGACGCACATTTAAACAGTAAGTTGTTTTTTTTTTGCGAAACATATTACTAGCATTTTATAAAAATCTTTTCACAGTTGTAGTTTTTAATTTAAAAATGGTAACAATTTTAAAAATTGTAAGAATAAAAAAATGTTCTCCTTTTCAGAGATGTAAAGCCAATTGAGCACCAGCTTCGACCGAAGGGCCTTGGCCTTGGTGCAGATCGATCAGCAATCAAAGACCTGGAGCCCAGCAAACGTAAGCGCCCTCCAAAACCAGGCGAGGAGCGGGATAAGGAGGAGGAGCTGGTGATGGGGCCTGGAGGCTGTGTGCAGGTGCAGTCTGGAGCACACAAAGAGCTCTATGGAAAGGTACAGTGCCCCCAGTAACTATGGGCAACAGGCACCATAAAAAAGTCATTTACTGTAGCAGGGGGCGATATAGACAAATATTTTGGATTGTCTTTATTATGATTATTGCATTATATTGTGTCTTCATTGTTTAAGTCAGACAACGTTGAAAGGATTGCAAAAGTGAATGAATATCTCTTAAAGAAAAATACTTGATCACAATGCCAATTTCTATTAAAACATTTTTTTTCATATATATATATATATATATATATATATATATATATATATATATATATATATATATATATATACTACATGCTCACTATTCTAAACTGACATAAAAAAAACTATTCTGAAATTATCTTGTAGACAATATCTTTCCCACCCGTTACACTGTTTTCTTGATTTGATCTTTTACAAAAATGTTCAGTAAATATTATTTTTTGTTTGTTTTTTGCGAAAAGATTGAAGGCATTGATGCTGATAATGCCCGAGTTATGGTAAAGCTGGCAATAGGTGGCAAGACTGTAACAATTAGCCAGTATGCTGTTAAACTGGTTGACCGCAAAGAATATGAGAAATACAGCAAAGATCTCAGTAAGTATGATGTTATTCTTGTTTTAAAAATCTTTTATTGTTTTTGCATCTATCCAATTAGTATTAACAATTATTAATAAATTCCACAAACCTGTTTTTCCACTGTTTAGGTCGCCTTAGTAAAGCCCACAAGGAGAAGGAGCGAGAGAAAGAAAAGGACAAAGAGAGGCAAAAATGGGAGGAGAGACGCAATGCAGATGAGGTCAAACACAAATATTCAGGAAAAGAAGAAAGGAAGAGGAAACATCATGACTCCAGTCAAGACAGAGAGAGGTTATTTTCTGCAATAATCTTTTCGTACATTTAAGTTGTATATTGGATCTATAGTTACAGTAGTTGGTCTGTTTCACAGGGATAAGCCATCAATTAAGGAGCCCAAACGATCCTCAGTTCCACCATCCTGGCTACAGAGAGACCTAAAAGTTCGCTTTATAGATAAAACGTTTAAAGGGGGAAAGTACTACAATTCAAAGGTATGTTTTAAGTGTTAACATAGTTTGTATAATCAATGTAGTAACACATGAATAAATATTGTCTCTTCCTAGATGCGTGTAGAAGATGTTCTGACACCAAACACTTGCGTTTGCCGAACTGAAGAGGGAAGATTATTAGATGGTAATTGTTGTTTTTTGCATATTTATTTACATATTTATTTTTTAAATATGTAATTGAACAATAGATTACATATTTAAAAATTACTTTAAGATGTAGCTACAACCACCTTAAAGTCAATACATGCGTAGCTATTTGCAAAACTCTCAATTATTTTTGAAGATAACCTTCATATGGTTTTAATTTTATTTATATAACATTACTGTTATTGTATTTTGTTTTGCAGATGTAAAACAGAACATGCTGGAAACCATTATTCCCAAGAGTGAAAATGACTCCATAATGGTAGTATTAGGTGAATATAGAGGACAGGTATGTATAGATAATACAAAAATAACACCACAATATTGTTTCATGCAATTCATGGAACTTATAAATTTATCCTCAAAGGTTGGGCGTATTTTGCAACGGGACAAGAACAAGTGCAAAGCAATGGTACAACTGGATCGTTATGAAGAGAAAGTGTTCACATTGGACTATGACATCATTTGCCACTATGTTGGAACTACAGATCACTGAATTCCTTGTTTCTAGTATTTCGTCAGTGTCAAACTCTCCCACAACTTAGTAGACCCAAGTGTTTTTTACAAAATAATGTATTCAATTTTGTAATAAATATTGCCATATTGTTTGTACATATCTTTTACTATAAAGAGACTGGATAATGAATTTCACAGCTGTTGTCTGTTTATTTTAATGTTAATGGACATGCACAATTTATAAAAACATATTTACATCTGCTCCTGGGTTTGATAAATACAGTATTTGTTTACCATTTCCATTAGGAACAACACGTGTAAAATAACAAAAGTAAAAAGAATCTACTTTAAATTCGACTTCACTCTTTCGGAATTTGGTTAGCAGCATTAGCTCTAAGCACAGCTCCGGGGCTGGGATATGGCCGCTGCTGAAACAATGGACCTGCTGCCGTGGTATCTGCACCTGTCTTTGCCTCATTTCGCTTTGGTAATCCAGTCGACCATGAGCCCCTACAAGATTGAATAATAATAGATGACAAGAAATATCCCATGTTGATATAATGAGTATATATTTCAGTGAGGTTAACCTTACCTTGGAGCATCTGAATAAGCACTAGGATCCATAGGGTCCATCTCATCATCCTTTTTCCCTACAATTTATTTAATACATTTAACTTTGGTTAAAGTTATATATATATTGCTGTAATAACACTAAGTATTGGGTTAAAAAAGTCCTAAACTAACAGTTCTCAAGCAGGGATTCATGGGGATTTTATGGGTTCCTGCATCCTCCTGACAGCATGTTGGGCTAAACATTACTAAAGGCTATGTTATGAGGACCCCCTTGAAAACGAGATGGTGATACATCTCAAGGGGCTTATTCTCCAAACAAATAAATGCAAATTCAAATTTTCCTAGGCCAATTCTGAACAGATCCAGGAGACTGACTGTCTCAATGTTATTCCTTTGCCTACAGTCCCTGACAAAAGTCTTGTCGCTTATCCATTTTGTAGAAACAAAAGCTTATAACTTGACTTTAAATTAATCGATTGGTTTTAGAAATGTCTCATATGAAAGCTAAAACCCTCCCAAATTATGCTCAATAAACTAAAATAAATTTGCTTCACTGAAAAAAGATTGATCATTTAATGAACACAGAAAGGTCGGATTTTGGCAAGACAAAAGTTTTGTCGCCTACAGAAAATTGAACAAATAATTTACTTCAAATACAAAAATATGTTGCATAACGTCAGTGAATTAAGTAGTGGTGCTGTGAGATCCATATTTAATATCTTGTATGACTTCCATGAGCTTGAAGGACTACATCCATGCGGTTCCACAATGATTCATACAATTTGTTGATGAAGTCATCAGGAATAGCAAAGAAAGCAGTCTTACATGCCTCCCAGAGTTCATCAAGATTCTTTGGTTTTGCCTTCCAAGCTTCCTCTTTCATTCTACCCCAGACATGCTCAATGATGTTCATGTCTGGTGACTGGGCTGGCCAGTCCTGGAGCACCTTGATCTTCGCCTTGAGAAACTTTGATGTTGAGATAGAATTATGCGATGGAGCACCATCCTGCTGCAAAATTTGACCCCTTTTATGGTTGGGAATGTAAGAGGTAGCCAATATGTCTTGATATTTTAGGTTATTGATATTGCCTTCCACCCTGCAAATGTCTCGCACATCCCCATACTGGATGTAACCCCAGACCATGATTTTTCCGCCACCAAACTTAACTGTTTTCTGGGTGAATCTTGGATCCATGCGGCTCCAGTAGGTCTCCTGCAATATTTGTGGCAGCTGTGATGTAATTCAACTGAGGATTCATCTGAGAAATCCACCTTCTGCCACTTTTCCACAGGTTGTGGGCCTTGGCAAATGCCACACAGTTTTTTAATTGCCTTTTGTTTAGTGCTGGTTTCTGGGCACTGATTCGACCATGGAGGCCATTTTGAGACAGAATTCTACAAACTGTTGTGGTTGACACAGGGACTTGAGGTGACCAGGTCTGGTGGAGCTCTGCTGCAGTGGAAAAGGGGCTGGCTGTGGATTTTCGAATCAACAAACGGTCCTCCCGAGCAGTTGTCTTGCGGGGTCTGCCGGACCTGGGCTTGTCAAAAACATCTCCAGTCATTTCAGATCTTTTTCTTATTCTTTGTACTTGACGCTGAGACACATTGAAGGTGTCAGCCACCTCAGCAGTGGATCTGGTCTTCAGCCTCTTGATAATTAATGCTTTGGTCTCAGGGTGGATCTTAGGCATGTTGTCAGAGGTCAAGTTGCAGTTGATGTGAAGGTCTGGTGTGCTGGGGTTCTTTTTATACACATCCACTAACTGATTGATCAGTAACTGACCACAGGTGAGGCTGTAATCTAGGATTGGGTGCATCATATGACAAGGCCACAAGACTTTTGTCTTGCCAAAATCTGACCTTTCTGTGTTCATTAAATGATCAATCTTTTTTCAGTGAAGCAATTTTTTTTTAGTATATTGAGCATAATTTGGGAGGGTTTTAGCTTTCATATGAGACATTTCTAAAACCAATCGATTAATTTAAAGTCAAGTTATAAGCTTTTGTTTCTACAAAATGGATAAGCGACAAGACTTTTGTCAGGGACTGTAGAATGTTTAACAGTATGACTCTATAGAGACAAGCTTGTGCCATAAGGCCAGGTTACAGGATAAAACTGGAGGGTAATCCCACTCACAGTAAATTTCATGTTTCTAAATGCATTTTTGGCAATAATGGTTATGTTCAATGACATACAATGACAAATTATAAAGCATAAAATCTCCATAAAGACATGCAGGTGGCTGACTCTCTTACAGAAAGGTTACACAGTGCACTTTTAAAATGAATAATAACTGATTTATCCCCACTGTGATGGAAAGACCTGATCAGAGTAATTCTTGTAATTTTGACACCCAGATTGCAACCACTTAGAATTTTCATACATTCAAATATATGCTGTACTGATGGAGGGAGCTGTGAAAAGCATTCTTACCTCTTTTGCTTTTGCTGTAGGGGGCGGGGTCTTCACGCCTGTGCCTCCTCCGGTCTCTGTCCCGGTCCCTTTCTCTGTCCCGATCTCTGTCTCTCTCTCTGTCCCTGTCTCGGTCTCTGTCCCGGTCACGCTCTTTTTCTGATCTCTCAGTCTTGTCAGTTTTGTCTTGTTCTAGAACCTCTAATGTATTAAAAACAACTATTAATAAATGATAGACTGAAATCATCAAACCTCTATCACACAATAAAAAATCTTGTCATGTTTAACATGGCACCATTGCACCATTGTACATACCTTTTGTTTTCTTGGCTGGTTTTGTTATCACTGCAGTGGGATCATTTGGGGAGAGCCAGGCAACCATGTCAGTCTCCACATTCCAGTAATATGGCAGACCACTGTGGCATAACATATAATAACACACAGTAAGATTAATTTTAATCCTCCCCAATTAGACTTTTACTTTAATGTTGTAAAATCTTGGAACTTACCATGTAGGATCAAACACTTTGTACCAGTTTGGAGGTAAATTTTCTAGTCTAGTGGCCTCATAATCGACATTGTTGTCATCATAATCTTCAGCAATAATTTCTTCATCTGCCCCTGGAAAAACGATGGGTGTTGGTCAGAGTGTAAGAAAAGAGTAATTAACATGTAAAACTAATCAAATCACCTTGCTCTGTAGGTTTAACAATTCCTCTTTTGGCCAGGCGGGCCAGTAGTGCTGGGGGTAGAGGCATCCTGCGACCCAACACACAAGAACACTACTGTTGTGGGAGATTAGAGAAATACTACCATTATTAATAGATGGTTTGAGGTTAATAATATGTTATTATACCGTGTATATTTCGGTGCAAATTGTTATAAAACTTCATTAATTTAACTTAAAAATATGATATTTCTAGGCTTTGCAACTGCTTCTATTTTGGAAGCTATGTTGTTAACACGCCGCACCAAAACATATTCGATAACGGGAAACATTTAGAATCAGGAACTTCCACGGAATACTGAAGATCAAAACCATCTATGTGGTATTTAGATAATATATATATGTGTGTATTTGCTTTACCTGTTAAACAGATTTTGTCCTTTTTTTATGTTGCTGCTAGTGAATGAACGATGCGACTGCAGGTTACTCGCGCACAGTGATGACGTTTACTCCTGGTGTCGACAAAAACAAACATGGAGGAATATGCCCGTGAACCCTGGTAAGATTAGTTTTCATAGATTAGTTTTGTTTTATAAGCCAGTATTCATTATGTATGACTTGCAAACGCATTCTTGACCAGTTTAACGCTTATTTTGAATAAAGATGTATAAAGACGCCTGCTTTAGTTTGTTTTGTTCTAATAATATAATTGTATCCGTCAGTCATTGTTATTCAATCCAATAGTTTTATCAAAGTGATTGCATATCTTATACAGTCCGTGGAGGATCGTGGACGACTGTGGAGGGGCTTTCACCATGGGAGCTATTGGAGGAGGAGTGTTTCAATCAGTCAAGGGTTTCCGTAATGCTCCTGCTGTAAGTGGCCTTTAACACATAAGATTTTATAGATTTCTTGCGCCACTGTTTTCTTTTAAGTATTAGTTTTATCCTTACAGGGTGTTAGGCATAGATTGAAAGGAAGTGCAAAAGCAGTCCGTATCCGAGCTCCACAGATTGGAGGTGAGTGGTGGTCCTTAATATTACAGTCACACTTTTAATGCTCTTAACTCTGAACTGTCTTTGGTTTATAATTTAGGCAGCTTTGCAGTTTGGGGTGGTCTCTTCTCAACTATTGACTGTGGTCTGGTCCATTTAAGAGGAAAAGAGGATCCCTGGAATTCAATTACAAGCGGTGCTCTAACAGGGGCTATTCTGGCAGCACGCAGTAAGTGAAGAAACCTTGTATTGATAACACAAGATTGATTACTAAATTTTGCATACATAAAAGCTTAACTTTTTCTTTAGGTGGCCCTCTAACTATGGTGGGCTCTGCAATGATGGGAGGGATTTTATTGGCTCTTATTGAGGGGTTTGGAATACTTTTAACCAGATATACAGCGCAGCAATTTCAGAACCGTAAGTTTAGACATATTTTCATACATCCATCACTCTCGGGAGGTGATATGCCTAATAATTATTATCACAATTCAGTTTTTATCACTATGATGCCCAGTGTTGTATATTCTGTGTACTGTATTTACACATACATTCTTTGAAAACGGGAATGTTGGAGGAGAGGAAGCAGCCCAAGAACATCAACAGAGAAAAATCACACATGTTGTTTTGCAAATTGTGAATTTTAGGACATCAGGACATTTTGGTGCTATGCCTTCAGGCAAATAGGTCTACTGTATATTAAAGCAGATAATATTACAGGACCTCATAACATCCTCTTCCAGATTTATTTTGCACATAAATCAAACATCAGAAAGTAAAGTTTTAACACCTCCTACACAAATATGTCTATAACAGTTTTTTGGTATAGTATATTATTATTAAAATCAAACCATAATGCCTTCTTTTGTTTTGTTTTTACCATCTTCCTCCAGCGATGCCTTTTGCAGAGGATCCTAGTCAGTTGCCTCCAAAAGACAGAGGCCCATAACAAGTGCCACATTTCAGTACAACAACATCTCTACAAAAAGCACAAAGTGAGTAACTCAGATGTCACTTTGTCATATTACAAACACTGTCAGGCCTCTTACTGGTTAGTGTGCCATCCTGCTGCATTAAGTGTTAAGAACTCAGGACAATATAATTTATTATTTAGTGAAAGGTTGAATGTGACCTATTGAAGTACATACATGTTGCTTTGCACTAGTTTTATGTTCAGTTTTTTTTTTTTTTTTTTTTTTTATGAGGGAATTTGTGCAATATATATGTACTGGAGAAGTGAATAGCCAAAGATTTTAAAATTGTATGCATGTCGGTTTTACAAGTTTAAAATATTAAAATGTAAAAAATATTTTAGTTGTTCATTGATCTGGCTATTTATTCAACAACTGAATAGTTTTTTTCCTGTTTTATTGTGTAATGCATTTAGCAACCAAGCACTTTGTGATTTATGTTCTTCACTTCTGAGGCGGCAACTACCAAAATGGCGTGACAATTTGGTAGCATGATTCATTTGAGTCATAGTCAATATAAAGTTGTAATATTAATGTTGTCTTGGTCAGTTTTATTTCATATTTTTTGTTGTTGTTTGATATTTGATGGAGAATAATAAAAACTTCAAATCTTATTGTCTATTTTCTTTGATTTGTCGTGGCTGTTATCTTAGTGCCCACCCTTGATTTGAGATTTTCAATCGATGAGTGCCCCCTGCTGCTCTAAGTTTACACCTGCAGTCTGCTGCTTCTGTCCAAGGTCCTGAATCTTCTTTTTGCGTTGAAGTTGCTATTCTGTACTGAGTTCAACTTTGCACCATATACTTCTCGTCTTAAATAAAACTGTATTACAAACATTTGAGACAGAGCATATGAAGCGTTACTTACCTTCCCCCTGTGAGATTTCCCTGTCATCCTTTTAACCGGCTCAGCTCGTTTAATCCCGCTGCCTGACCACCGCGGCTGCCGGAGCTGGTTGTTTTAACATTTACCGGCAGTTTTGCTCCTACAGAGATAAGGAAACACGTTTTAACGGGAATAACTTTCAAAGACGTAAAGGACATTCATCTGGATTTCTTTTCTGCACGTGGGCCCATAGCGACGGCATGTGGCCTCTGCCTGTGCTCCTCGTGCTGATGTGAAATACCGGCTCAAATCCCTGAAGACGCTGATGGTGGATTATTCAAATAAAAAATAATTTCACCATACCATGGAGGGGGCAAAGAAAGGTAAATGCATGTTTTTCATGTGAAATTTGAATTGAATTGAATTGAATAGAATTTTTCTTTACAAAGTGAACTACAGTTACAGTAGTTTTTTTTTATTTGCATTTATTGTGTTTTGAGTTGTTAACAGTAGCTGCAGGCTTAGTTAACAGGTGTTCCTGGGCCTGTACCTGGGGATAGAGCTCAGTGCACTGTTCTGATAAAGAACTAGGTCACATCTGGTCTTATCATATGAGGCCTTCAGGACAGAATACCTGCCTCTAAGTAAAGCAACATTGGAAAACTACAAAGAATAACTACAAAAAATAAAACAGAATTTAACTAATCTCACAGTTAATACATTCACACTAAAATAATCTATGACATGACTGAGACAAAAAGGAAAAGCCCCTTATTATCTTTGTTTGTCACTTTTAATTTCTGCAGTGGCAAAACATTTGTTTCCATGTAACGGAAATGTTACCTGTCAGGTTTAAACCCACCTAAACATTGTAAAACAAGAAGAAAGACAAGAGATTAGAATCGTTTTCTCATGAGGAGGGCGGACAGAGAGTGCAATCATACTTATACAATTATTCTAACATTACCTTTTAGCAGACCCCGCTGGAGGGGATGGAGGAAAGTCGGACACCCTGGGGTCCACTGGCTCAGCCCGGAAAAGAGGAGGGGGGGCCAAGAAGGCCATGCAGGCAAACAAGTCTGCTCTCAGGGCCCCCCGTGCCCTCTGCTGCCTCACCCTCAGCAACCCCATCCGAATGGCAGCCCTGGCGCTTGTGGAGTGGAAATATCCTTCTCTGCACTAATGCATTAATCATAATATATTTGATGTTTTGTCTTGCTGAAATGTACTATAAATGTACTGTAAAGGCCTTAACTGTTATTTCCAGGCCCTTTGATATTTTCATTCTGCTTTCAATTTTTGCTAATTGTGTTGCTATGGGAATTACCAAACCATATCCAGATGATGACTCCAATGCCACCAATCACCAGCTGGTAAGACAAAACATTTGAGACTGTCCAAACAGACATACTGTATGTCAGAGCGCATTTTCAGGTGTAGTCCAAACAGTGTAGTGAGGTAAAAGGTTCTTTTGTTTTGAACTCTGGGTGAGATGACCCTCAGATCACACTCACTAAAACCACACCATCTGCCTCCTGTATCACACTCACTTCTCACTTTTGTCAAATATTATGAAACAACATATGATCAGAAACACATACAAACTAAATTTAAACATTAATTAGAGATCATAAAAATACAATTTCTTATTATTATGCATGTTTAATTTTGATTAAAATGTCCAATGTCCAAAAGTTTCATTTGAAAATGTTTCAGAAAACACCCACTTGTGCTGCAGGATAGATGGTTAGACAATCCCTTTATTGGATTTTGCAGAGAAGCTAAGCTGATAGTTGACCACACCAGTCCTGATGGTGACTTGTTATTTTTCAGTATCCAGTTTCTGTATTTGTAGTTACTTTAGCTGGTTATAGTCATTGATTCAGATAAAAGCAGGGATTTGCGCTTGTAGTAAAATAAGATATCAGTGAGATAAGTTATTATACTTAAGGAAATAGAGCTGTTGAAAGACTTAAGCCTGTGTTAGGCAGTGGGTTAAGAGGTTAGAGAGGCGAGCCCAAGCACACAAACACAGAAACGTGCAGGTTTTACCTTATCTTTGCTAATATCTAAGAAAACATCATGCTAGAGGTGGGAGTTAGATTGAAAAATTTATCATATAGCAGTTGTTCTTCTGGAAATTTGCTAAATTACGACATTGAATATACTGTCTATAATTAAAACAAATGACAACAAAAATAAACATCTAGTGTAATCTTTAAAACAACAGTATTTAATATTTTTGGAGTTGTTTTTTTTTATCATATTTTGTGTAAGACATTTACAGGCATGTTTTTGGCACATTCTTTGCAAGATAATGCAAATAATTATTGAGATATTATTTTTGTCAGTGTTGCTCACCTGTATGCACATCATAAAACCTTTGAACAAATTTTTCATGTGTCTTTTCTTTCTGCTCAGGAACAAGTGGAGTATGTGTTCCTTGTGATCTTCACCATTGAAACCTTTACAAAGATTCTGGCTTACGGCTTGGTCATGCACCCCAGTGCCTACATTAGGAGCGGGTGGAACTTGCTTGATTTTGTTATCGTCATTGTTGGGTAAGTTGACTGCACTACAGTCACCACATCATTGTCACTATCATTACATGACCAGTAGTCTGTTAGAACCTCTGTTACTCAAGTTAGATTTGATCTGATCTTAATTTTAACATAATCTGACCAGAAAGAGCTCACTTATTTGGAACTACCGCAGGTGAGGTGATTTGTGCTGTTAAACAAGTCTCTCACACATAAAACTACAGTCACAAGGAAGCTGGCATTAGCCAACAATTTTTCAGTTAATCACTCTCACCTTTTTTGTTGAAAATCAAACTCCTAAACAGGACCTTGAATGTTTGTATTGATCACAGGCTCATGAAAAGGTGTTATTTAAATGCATTGACTATTTTTTTATTTTTTTTTGAGTCTTTTTTCTCTGTGTTTGCTACTGTGTACATTGTGTCATCGTGGTAACAGCTCAATATTCCACCAATAGAGAAACATGTTGAACACCCCCAGTGTGATATCACTGCAAAGTATCAATATTGACTCATCGTTCAATAAATGATAGATAGATATAATTTTTGGAGGTTGATATTTGTCACTGGTATCTCTTTCATATTTTAGTAGGAAACATGTTATTTTTCTGCACTATAAAAATAAAGATTTGAACTTCTATGACACAAACTAGATACAAACTATCTTCTAAAGTGTTTCAATTATTTATTGCATTTCATGTTTTTTGGTTGTTTTTTTTTTGACATTTAGAATATTTTATTCGGGATAATCCTACTCTAGGTTATTGTGTTAGTATGGTATTGTGACAGGCCTAAAGAGCAGTGGATTTAACATTGACTGAATATTTGACTTTGCATGAGATGTTCATCTTGTTTTCAGTTTGTTCAGTGTGATAGCTGAAGGGATGACGGACCATAAACCAGGAGAAGCACATCACGCTGCAGGGAAGCCAGGGGGCCTAGATGTCAAAGCCCTCAGAGCTTTCAGAGTGCTGAGACCTCTTCGACTTGTATCAGGAGTGCCAAGTATGTAAAAGACCATTATTTTGTTAATTTTGCCTATTTTAGAGACATCTGGACACAGTTGTCGCTTATATTAAGGCATTAAATGACTTCAGTACATATAAAAAAATAATTCAAGCATAAAAAGTAGATTTGGCTTAAACTCATGTACTTGCAAAAAATGTTTTTGATGGATAATAATTAATAATTAGTAATAATTTTGGAAAACAATCATTTAAAAACTACAATTTGTGATTTCCCACTTTAAAACTGCAGTGGTTTCATATGTTCATTCAATAAAGGAGAAGATATATGGGAACCAACATTTTTGTCCGTACCCTACCAACAGGCAACTCATGGTAGCAGAAACTGTTAAAGCTGGTTAGAAAGGTAGACAGGTGTATGAAATCTAAGTTCACCACTGTTGGTTAAAGGCTGTATAATTTTTGTTTGGGTAGGTTTGTGCTAAATTGTTGTTTATATATCTTGAAATGTTTGAATGTCTCTCCAGGTTTACAAATTGTGTTGAACTCCATTATGAAAGCCATGGTCCCCCTGCTTCACATTGGAATGCTGGTCATGTTTGTAATTATCATCTATGCCATCATTGGACTGGAGCTGTTCATTGGTAGAATGCACAAAACCTGTTTTTCCTCAACCTCAGGTGAGTATTCTTGGAATCTATGTTATCTTGGTCCAAGTTTAGTCCCACTTCAGACCTAATTCCATTTGACATTTGTTCCAGTGTGAAAGAACCCTGACTGAAACCGTTTGTAGTCAAAATTAACACTGCTGTTAGTTTGTAATCATATCTCGTTTGTTTTGACAGGTCTCTTTGTAGAAGATGACCCATCCCCCTGTGCGTTTGCAGGGAATGGACGCTTCTGTATTGGCAATGGGACAGAATGCAGGGGCAAGTGGGAGGGTCCCAACGGTGGCATCACAAACTTTGATAATATCTTCTTTGCTATGCTAACAGTCTTTCAGTGTATCACTATGGAGGGCTGGACAGATGTTCTCTACTGGGTAATTACAATATTTCTTTGCCACTTTGCTTTATAGCATAATCATATCATTATAATTGGCTGGAAAAAAGCACATTTGTCAATGCTCTTTATTTTATGGTAATATGATCACCCTATCCCAATATAAAGACTACAAATTACTAGGAAAAACAAATAGGAATAATTTAAATAGAGGGCTGTAAAATAGATTTATCCCTCACTATTCCAGGTCCTACATTATTTCTATTCTATTATTACGTTATTACCTTTATACATCATTGTAATTTAATTACTTAATATAACTATGCTTGTCCCTGCATAGATGAATGATGCCATTGGCCATGAGATTCCTTGGATTTACTTTGTTTCCCTGGTCATCTTTGGCTCATTTTTCATTATCAATCTTGTTTTGGGAGTGTTGAGCGGGTGAGTAATTTATTTTAATTTATTTTTTAACATGTATTGATTAAAATGTACAGATCTGAAATTGTTTATTTCTTATCCAGAGAGTTCTCCAAAGAAAGAGAAAAGGCTGTGGCTCGTGGTGAGTTGCAAAAAGCTCAAGAGAGTAAGCAAATGGAGGAGGACATGATCGGTTACATGGATTGGCTCATAGAGGCTGAAGACGTGGACGAAGAGGGAAATAAACGTGAGACATACAATTTCACAATATCACAGAATTAATCTAAATATCTAAAACAATATGTTGATGAAGTCTCAAAGGCTCTATATTACACAAAATTTACTCTCATGAGCTTTGAGTCATGTTGTCAGTGTTGTTCATTTCATACATTAGCCCTTACTGGTCATGGTGTAACCTAATTTGGTGCTGCCCAATATTAAATTTCAGTGTTTTTTGACAAGCAAAAAAGGGATGTCTTAATGTTTCATTAATTTATTTGTTTTTTTTTGTCATATTAATCAGCCCTTATGTATATGTATTATATATTTTCTACAGCTAAATATCTGTCCATCCCTTTATAACCTATTACACCAAATCTTATTCAATCTGAAAGGTGCTGCAATTGCAAAGAAAAAGATGATGAAGAAGTTTGGCTGGTACAAACACAGTGAGGATGGCGGAGGTATGTATATCACTGATTGATATTTGGGTCACCTTATTACATGAAAACTGTATTGACAGCCTGTCTTGTTGCAGAGTCTGACTCGGACGATGATATCGCTTACCTCGATGATGACAATGGCTTCTGTGCTTCTCTCATGTAAAACCACTTTCACATGTTTCACTTTTTCTGTGCTGGTGCAAAACATGACTTTAACCCTGATTACCTTTTGTCTCCAAAGGGCAAAGATGATGGCCAATAGCTTCTGGTAAGATTTTTCTGTCTACAGTTTCCATATTGAATAGTTGTATACATATTTTGATAATACATGTGTATGTAAAAGAAAAAAAAGAAAGTAAATCTGTCTGTAATATGTTTAAAATGATTCATGTCTCTTTTTTCTGCAAACAATTAAAACCCACTATAACCTTATTTCCTAATTTTTTATTTTTTGTGTGCAGTGACCAGTTGTGTCAGCTGAACCACACCATGAGGAAGAACTGTCGTGTGGCTGTGAAAACCACAAATTTTTATTGGCTTGTGCTGCTGCTGGTGTTCCTCAACACAGTAGCCAGTGCCTCAGAGCATTACGGACAGCCCAAGTGGCTCACTGAAATGCAAGGTTAGTCTGTAATTTAGTTTTTTGACATTTACCCTTCAAGAGTTTTATTTATTTTTTCCTGTTTTATTTGCATAATTTTAAGATTTTTTATATTTTATTATATGCTAAATACTTATATCAGATAAAAAAAGACAAAAATCACAATAATAATGCACTGACACAAAATAATAAAGCATAGTTTTCAAACAACATTCACAATATTATAAATAATTCTATATTTTTTCTCTATCACCAAGTATAAGGAATGAATAAATAATGCTCAGAAATAAAACTGATTACATTGTTATTATTTTATAGCCTACTTCTGAGCTTAATAATAATAAACATTAACAAACATTGTTTTTGTTGTTTTCACTCAGAACGAGCCAATAAGATCTTGCTGCTCCTTTTCACGTTGGAAATGTTGATGAAGATGTATGCCTTCGGACTGCAGATCTACTTCATGGCTCTGTTTAACCGCTTTGATTGTTTTGTGGTGTGTGGAGGAATCCTGGAGCTCCTCCTGGTGGAGTTAGAGGTTATTCCTCCCATTGGTATCTCTGTGCTGCGCTGCATCCGTCTGCTCAGGATTTTTAAGATGACTCGGTAAGTATTCAGGCTTCAGACGACATCACAACATTCACTAGACTAGACCAAGCTCACTTCAAATGGGGGTTGTGCTGTTTCTTTCTTTTTTTTTGTTTGATCTAGTGAGATTATGGACCTAAAAACATCAATGCAAATATGTATTTTTAAGCACTTGTAGAATGTATAATAATTATTAATGATTATGGATTACATATTTTTATTTTAATAAAGCAGTTTCTAGACCAGAGTCACTCTTTATCCTTTTTAGATTTTCTTTAAATAAATAAATAGATAAATGGGTAGATACATAGCTGGATGGATATCTTTATTACGGACTCCTGGTCCAAAGTAAAAAAAAAAAGCATGTGTTTCCACAGCTGAGCAATAAAATCACCATATGGTGCAGAACTGGACTATAGTGGTCCAGTACAATAAATATTAAAATCAAATCTGCAACTCTTCCTCTCACAGTGTGTTGTCATTACATTGCAGAATAATAATCGAATACCTGTCAATTATTTGTATATTCTTTTCTTTTTGCTTTAATTTTTAGGCACTGGGCCGCTCTGTCAGACTTGGTCAATTCTTTACTGAACTCTATGAAAGCTATCTGCTCCCTTCTGCTGCTGCTCTTTCTCTTCCTCATCATCTTCGCTCTGCTGGGCATGCAGTTGTTCGGAGGAAAATTCAATTTTGATGAAACTCAGATGAAGAGAAGTACCTTTGACTCCTTCCCTCAGGCTCTACTCACTTGTTTCCAGGTTATTACACTTACGTTTATCATAACTCTTGGAAATTTATGTTATCTCTGAGAAGAAATGATGGGGAAAAAAAACAAAAAACTTTACACTTTTCTGCACCTTTGTGTTTAATTTCACTGTCACTCCACCTTTTGTGCTATTTATGAGTTTCAAGCTATGGCAACAACAGTCCACCTTTACCATAGCAATTAAGCAATTCAAATCAAAATATCATATATTATGAATAAGAAGAGTGTCACAAAGCTCTTCAACTCATGAAGAAATTTGAAAACCCATAAATACTTGAACCTAACCCAGACTTTTACAAGCACATTTTTCACATTTACAAAATATAATCTCATCATTGTTATCATGGAATTAGTTATTGTCAACAATGGTGACCCTTACTCCATATTATGCTTTATTTTATTAGATCCTGACAGGAGAGGACTGGAACGCTGTCATGTATGATGGGATCATGGCATATGGAGGCCCGATATTTCCAAACATGGTGGTCTGCATTTACTTTGTCATCCTCTTCGTCTGTGGTAACTGTATCCTTCTATAAACTTTTTGGCAACTAGGACTGTCAAAAACAATGCCCAGAAAATGATCAATACTAAACCAATCTAGTATTAGCATGTGTTACTCACTGCAGCAAGTATTCCCAACATTCCCTGGGGGGGTGATGCTAACTGTATGCTTTACTCTGTCTGACAATCTGTTACTCAATTTAGGCTTTAATCTGAGCTTTGTTTTCTGACCAGAAAGAGATGATTTAGCTGGAACTACAACAGGTGAACTGATTTGTGCTGTTAAACTTGTCCCTCTCAAAATATATTAGTCACAAGCTAGCTAAAATTAGCCAACAGTTTTTCATTTAGTCACTGTCATCTTTTTACTTAACATCAAACACAAGTGAACATATTTAAATCCATTTTGTATTTTTTTCTTGAGTTTTCAGACCATCTTGAAAGTTTTTTGGTTGTGTTTGAAACTCTGATTCTACTATAGAAATACTGTACAGTCCCTGACAAAAGTCTTGTCGCTTATCCATTTTGTAGAAACAAAAGCTTATAACTTGACTTTAAATTAATCGATTGGTTTTAGAAATGTCTCATATGAAGCTAAAACCCTCCCAAATTATGCTCAATATACTAAAAAAAATTTGCTTCACTGAAAAAAGATTGATCATTTAATGAACACAGAAAGGTCAGATTTTGGCAAGACAAACGTCTTGTCACCTTGTCATATGATGCACACAATCCTAGATTACAGCCTCACCTGTGATCAGTTACTGATCAATCAATTAGTGGGTGTGTATAAAAAGAACCCCAGCACACCAGACCTTCACATCAACTGCAACTTGACCTCTGACAACATGCCTAAGATCCACCCTGAGACCAAAGCGTTAATTATCAAGAGGCTGAAGACCAGATCCACTGCTGAGGTGGCTGACACCTTCAATGTGTCTCAGCGTCAAGTACAAAGAATAAGAAAAAGATCTGAAATGACTGGAGATGTTTTTGACAAGCCCAGGTCCGGCAGACCCCGCAAGACAACTGCTCGGGAGGACCGTTTGTTGATTCGCAAATCCAAGGCCAGCCCCTTTTCCACTGCAGCAGAGCTCCACCAGGCCTGGTCACCTCAAGTCCCTGTGTCAACCACAACTGTTTGTAAAATTCTGTCTCGAAATGGCCTCCATGGTCGAATCAGTGCACAGAAACCAGCACTAAACAAAAGGCAATTAAAAAAACGTGTGGCATTTGCCAAGGCCCACAGCCTGCTAAAAGGATGGACACTGGAAAAGTGGCAGAAGGTGGATTTCTCAGATGAATCCTCAGTTGAATTACATCACAGCTGCCACAAATATTGCAGGAGACCTACTGGAGCCGCATGGATCCAAGATTCACCCTGAAAACAGTTAAGTTTGGTGGCGGAAAAATCATGGTCTGGGGTTACATCCAGTATGGGGGTGTGCGAGACATTTGCAGGGTGGAAGGCAATATCAATAACCTAAAATATCAAGACATATTGGCTACCTCTTACATTCCCAACCATAAAAGGGGTCAAATTTTGCAGCAGGATGGTGTTCCATCGCATAATTCTATCTCAACATCAAAGTTTCTCAAGGCGAAGAAGATCAAGGTGCTCCAGGACTGGCCAGCCCAGTCACCAGACATGAACATCATTGAGCATGTCTGGGGTAGAATGAAAGAGGAAGCATGGAGGCAAAACCAAAGAATCTTGATGAACTCTGGGAGGCATGTAAGACGCTTTCTTTGCTATTCCTGATGTGACTTCATCAACAAATTGTATGAATCATTGTGGAACCGCATGGATGTAGTCCTTCAAGCTCATGGAAGTCATACAAGATATTAAATATGGATCTCACAGCACCACTACTTAATTCACTGACATTATGCAACATATTTTTGTATTTGAAGTAAATTATTTGTTCAATTTTCTGTAGGCGACAACTTTTGTCTTGCCAAAATCTGACCTTTCTGTGTTCATTAAATGATCAATCTTTTTTCAGTGAAGCAAATTTATTTTAGTTTATTGAGCATAATTTGGGAGGGTTTTAGCTTTCATATGAGACATTTCTAAAACCAATCGATTAATTTAAAGTCAAGTTATAAGCTTTTGTTTCTACAAAATGGATAAGTGACAAGACTTTTGTCAGGGACTGTACATGCACAATTTTGTGTCCAAACTAGAACGAAAACTGGACACCCATTTCTCATTTTTTATTATCTGAATCAACCACACACACCTCTGATTTGTATATACTTTTGTTTTGTCCTTTTGCAAGGCACATCACTCATGTTGCCTGTAAATGACCATGTGTATGTGAGTGATTAGATGGTTGGAGTGGCCAGATTGTCAGCCTTGCTTCTGCGCAGCTCTGGCAACAAGCATACCATATCACCACAGACAAGGGGAGTGCAAAGTTATTTTTGAGGGACTTGATAAGTGCTTATTAGTGCATATATTAATTATTTGCATTATAGAGAACATACAGGTTGAATTTTGTGTAATGAGATGCAATTTGACAAAACAATTGTTTAAATATAAAATTCTTAACTTTACTAACCAGACATCTTGCTGAATGTGTTCTTGGCTATCGCTGTAGACAACTTGGCAGGAGGTGGTGGGAAGAAGAAAGTTGAGTAAGTAGAGGTTTGCTGAATTTAATGAGTTAATTTAAATCGGCTTTTATGGTGACAACAGAGTTTATGAATATGGTGATTAAAAAACACTGTTGTTTTCACAGAGAGAAAAAAGAAGAGGAGGAAGAGTGGGATGACGATGAAGAAAAAGAAGGTGAAGATGCTGGGGTAAGAATGTGTTTACTCTATACTGGGTGCATTTTTATATAAAGTATATGCTGAATTACTACTACTCAATATTTATGAGTGGTCCAGGTTAATTTGGTCTTATTATTTTGTTAATTATTACTACAAAATAAACAACAGTAATAATATTTTTGAATGTTCTAATGTCTTTAAAATATTTTAAAAGTCACAGTGAAGTTTTATCATTATTATTTATTGTGCAAATTTAGCCTTGTTTATGTCCCGGTTGAGTTTTTGTTATTTTGATTCTAGAATTTGAGTAATTTTTACAATATATTTTTATATAGTGTAGTAGTATTATAACTAAATTATTATTATTATTATTATTATTATTATTATTGTCATCACAGTAATTTATTATCTGTTGATGTCTTTCTGTACAGAACGAAGAAGATGACTGGCAGGATAATGAAGAACTGAGGGCCATAGAGGGCCTTGAAGGTGAGATCTTGCATAATAAAATAATAAATAATCTAATATATCTAATATATCTATATCTATGTCTATAGGGTGGACAGATTTGTTAATGATATTGTATGCATGTTTGCTTACATACATTTTTTAGGAGTTGCTCCAATGAAACCGGAGTTCTCAGGACCTAAAGAGAAGATTGTGCCAATCCCTGATGGAAGTTCATTTTTCATTTTGGGGAAAAAAAACTGGTAAAGTAACACATATTTTTAAAAAGATTGAAAGTTGGTTACAAATTTCTACATATAATAATGGGGGATTAGATTTTTTGCATTTAAATTATTTGTTTTCCCGTGCTCAGTTTGCGTGTGGCCTGCCATAGCTTCATCCATCATCCATACTTCACAAACTTCATCCTCGTCTTCATCATTCTCAGTAGCATCTCTCTAGCTGCTGAGGACCCCATCAAATCTCACTCATTCAGAAACATCGTGAGAAGACATTCAAATAATTCTGAATTTCATCCCATATGTCCAATACTTTTTTATATACTCCTAATTTTATTTTGTTTTGACTGTTCTCAGGTACTTGGATACGCTGACTATGTGTTCACATCAGTTTTCACAGTTGAGATTGTTTTAAAGGTAAGATCTTTTTAAAGAACATATTTTCTTGTATTTTAGTAGTCAACCAATGACACATACTAGTAGATAGTTCTTTTTTGTTTATTTTGTTCATTGTAAATGTCATCTAAATAGACTTAAGAAACAAATTAATTGTCTTCTATTTTAAGACCATAGAACTACCAAAATCATGAGGGAAAAAAATCAGGAAGGATTTTGAGTTGTTGAACATTTTCTGAGCTCTGGTGTAGTCTTGAATTTGGGACAATACAAAATTACTCAAAGATGGATGAATATGATATATTAATGATAAATTATATTGTATTAACTAGTAAGTTACGGATGAAAGAAAAACATAAATTGATTAAGCTTATACATTTCTATTTTAAAAAGTTATTTTTACATAATTTGTTCCCTATATATATATATATATATATATATATATATATATATATATATATATATATTTATGTGTTTATTTACAGATGACAGTGTACGGGGCCTTTTTGCACGAGGGCTCTTTCTGCAGAAATGCCTTTAACCTCTTGGATTTACTGGTTGTCAGTGTCTCTCTCACTTCCTTTTTCCTACAGTGAGTTTGGACAATAAGACGCTCTATTCAAATTGTTATAACCATTTAAATTATAGTAATAATTTCTAAATGCTGTGTTTTGTTTCTTTCAGCTCAAGTGCCATTTCTGTGGTAAAGATTCTCAGGGTGCTGCGAGTGCTCAGACCTCTGCGTGCCATCAATAGAGCTAAAGGATTAAAGGTAGTTATTGATCTCTCTCTCTCTCTCTCTCTCTCTCTGTCTCTCTATCTATCTGTCTATCTATCTGTATATCTATCTTTATATATATCTCTATATATCTCTACCTCTATATCTATCTATCTGTATCTATAGAGAGAGAGGGAGACTGTATATAGAGATATATAGAGATATAGATATCATTAATATTATTAGTATATTATCATTATTAGTTTTTATATTAACCAGTTATTATTAATCTTCTAATGTTTAATTCCTTTACAGAACGTGGTGCAGTGTGTGTTTGTAGCCATACGAACCATTGGAAACATCCTGATTGTGACCACGCTTCTTCAGTTCATGTTCGCTTGTATCGGAGTCCAGCTTTTCAAAGTGAGTTTTCAATTGAGATCTTTAAATTCAGGGTTCACCAGTAACATTACAGTTAATTTGCTATTTTGACTTGTCAATGTTTTTTATCCAAAAAAGTTTGAATTATTATAATGCTAAAAAAACATCTAGCATTTAGCAAGTTGTTCAATTGGCTAACATTTTAATATCAAGACCTATCTTGTTTTTTTGAATATAATCAGAAACAATTTTTTATCTGCTCATCGTATTACAGGGTAGATTTTATAGCTGCACAGATGAAGCCAAACACACTCCTGATGAATGCAAGTCAGTATCTACATGTGATTTGATATTTTCTCTTAACGGTTTGATTTTAATTGATACATTTCCATCTGACTTCAGGGGGACATTTGTGGTGTACAAAGATGGTGATATGGACCACCCCATGGTCAAAGAGAGGATCTGGCAAAACAGTGACTTCAACTTTGACAACGTGCCCATGGGCATGCTGGCATTATTCACAGTCTCCACATTTGAAGGCTGGCCTCTGTGAGTAGCAAACCATGAAATTATATATGAAATTAATTTAATAAATATTACAACAACAGATCTTGGTGTTCACTGTGAAATCATCCAATATATTAATAATATAATGCATCAAAATACTGAAATAACAGCAGATTGCCATATCTAATTTTAAGCTCTTATCTAGCTTTTGTAACTTTTTTTGCTGTATAATGTATATTAATTTCTATGTTTTTGGCATGTACAGTTCAATTTAAATCAGATTCAGATCAGAAAATTTTGTTGCATTAAGATTTCATAAAAGCCATTATACATATAGGTACATACACATACAAATGAGCAAATGTATACATGGACATTAAAATATTACTTTCTATCAGTATCTTACACCAAAATGTGTTGGTAGAACTGAGACATCTTTAATTCAGATGTTTTGTTTTTTTTGTAAACCTTTTTATTTGGGTCTTGTACAAAGGTTGCTATACCGAGCTGTAGACGCCAACGCTATAAACCGGGGCCCCATCTACAACTACAGAGTGGAAATCTCCATCTTCTTCGTCATCTACATCATCATCATTGCCTTCTTCATGATGAACATCTTTGTGGGTTTTGTCATCATCACATTTCGAGAGCAAGGAGAGGCTGAATTTAAAAACTGTGAATTAAACAAAAACCAGGTCAGTTATACAGCATGCTCAATCACTCACTGCAAAAATGCTTTAATATGTATGTGTGCAATATGTACTTTCCTGGTGGAAGGTTCACCAACTGCTTTTCTCCATAGAGATGCTACAGCTTTGCCTGGAATGTTCCAACTTATGTTTCTAGTATTTATTCAATTCCAGGTATTTGTTTTACTAAAATACCATGAATTATAATAGTGCATACTTACTTTGAGGTGGTTCGCCTCTCCATAGATCTAAACTGATGCAATCATATGTTTGTAATACTATGGAACAATCTAGGCAAAGCAATAACATCTTTATGGAGACAAAGGTTACATAGTGTATTTTTTTTTTAGATATTTCAAGGCAAAATTATCTGCTAATGGAAGGGAAGATTTTCTTGTTCTCATTTTACGAATGTTGCTTTTTGCAGTGTAAATGACATGTTTTTAGTTTAAATTTATTCAACTTGATTTTCTCCACATAGCGCCAGTGTGTGTACTATGCACTGAAAGCCCAGCCTATAAAAATCTACATTCCCAAGAATCCATCACAGCTCAAATTTTGGAAAATTATCAACTCGAGTCAGTTTGAATATATCATGTTTGTCCTGATTCTGGGCAACACATTGACTCTGGCTGTTCAGGTACAAATTTCTTTTCCAAATGAAAGCAATAGATTTATAATCCTTTATAATTCAACTTTTCCAATCATTGTTTATTGGTGTTTCAGCATTACGAGCAGTCAAAGCTATTCACTTCTATCATGGATATCCTCAACATGATCTTCACTGTTGTGTTTACAATTGAAATGATTATCAAGTTAATGGCACTACGGGCTCATGTAAGGTCAAATTTTATCGTTATCTTAATGCAGTAAACAGCTCATGTAATACTGTTCTCTTTTTCTTATTTAGCACTATTTTATTGATCCTTGGAATTCATTTGATGCTTTGATTGTTGTGGGGAGTGTGCTGGATATTGCCGTGTCTGAGTTTAGTGTAAGTGGAATTTATACCCTTATACAGTACATAACTTTTTTGATGGAGAGTATGCCACTTGTTTGTCATCATGGAGAGGTTTGTTCTTGGACTGGAATGCTTCACATTATGGAACTTCAACAAGTCAATTTAGAAATCACATCTGTGGAGAGGTGACCCCACTCACAAAAAGAGTTACAGTTTTTTCAAGGTATTTTTGAGCTATAAAATAGTTGTATTTAAGTTAACTGCCATACTGTGGATCATTCAAAATGAAGCAACAGTTTCACCATGGAGACTAGCAGGTGGCAGTCCCCTAATAGAAAAGTTACATAGAGGACCTTTAAATACTTTCTGTTTTCTCTTCTCTACATGCAGGGAGGGGGTGGACATGGTGAGGTAAGGCCTACACAAAACGAATTTATAAATGATAATCTAAATCATTTTAAACACTTTTTAATGCTGTTTTATTTGTTTCATAGGGCAAAGGTGAAAGTGGTAAAGTGTCTATCACATTTTTCCGTTTATTCCGAGTCTTGCGTTTGGTGAAGCTCCTCAGTAAAGGAGAAGGCATCCGAACTCTTCTCTGGACGTTTGTCAAATCTCTGCAGGTCATTTAAATTTAATAAATAAAATACATTATATTACATTATACAAGATTATATGCGCCAACTTTACAATTTGTAAGTGTAAATATCTTTTCCTGTGTAGGCCCTGCCCTATGTTGGTTTGCTCATTGCCATGATATTTTTCATTTATGCGGTTATCGGCATGCAGGTAAGACGATTTTTGGATAAGTAAATATGTGCTTTTCTGTTACATTAAAGCAGTACATTTTACCTTTGTATTTTGTTCTCTTTGTAGACCTTTGGAAAAGTGGCCATTGATGACGACACTGAAATCAACCGAAACTGCAACTTCCAAACTTTCTTTATGGCGGTTTTGGTGCTGTTCAGGTGAACAAAGATGGTGCCATAAAATTATTTAATTTGATTTCATCTGATTATATTGTATAATAATCTTTTTTGTTAATAGATATATTTTTGGGCTAACATATCTGCATACCTGGGACAGAGTGTCTTGTATATAGGAAAGGCACTGAAACTTAGGAAAAATCCCACACATCTTTCACTGTTCATGGATTTATTTCAGCATCTGCAATTCCTTCCTCATGTAGATAATAGAGTCCCTTTGTTGATTATGGGATGATCCAGGGATCCAAGCTCAGCCAGCTTTGTAGTACAGGTCTCTAAGGACAATTGAACAGTCAACAACAGTTACTTGCATTATAAAAAAATACTTGAAAGTCCAGTGATGCTCTAGTGACATGATGTTATAAAAAGGACAAATTCACACTGCATGTCCTGCAAAATGCCCTGTACAGCCACACTTCCTATTCTAATTAAAAGGTGTGATGGCAGGTGCGCCACAGGAGAGCAGTGGCAAGAGATCATGCTGGCAGCGTTGCCCGGGAGACGTTGTGACCCTGAGGCCGACATTGAGCCAGGAGAGGAGTATTCATGTGGTAGTAACCTGTCCTACATCTACTTCATCAGCTTCTTCATGCTCTGCGCTTATTTGGTGAGGAAACAATGATCCACACTTACACTATCAGTCAAACAATATATGACAAATATATGGCATTCCTTTACAATGTGCTCCTAAATATCTTGCTTGAGGCTCAAGTAGTGCCCATTTATTGAATGTACTGTAAAATCATTCACAAATCTAGCGATATAACTGTATACACCAGTTTTAAAGATTACACTGTGTGTTAGTTCTATTTCATCTCGACTGATTAGTGATTCATAAAACCATTGTAACTTTCATTTTATTTTGTGTGGCTTTTTAAAATTTTATTTTTTAGGCAATATACTCAATATTTCTATATATATCTCTGAGCAAACAACTGCAGAATTCAATATATGCCTACCTTTAAGTTTAATGGTCCTATATTACACAAAATTTACTCTTGTGAGCTTTAAGTCATGTTACCTCATCAAAAACAAATCTGGAGTTAAGTTTTCTTTCATTCACACATGTTTGAGTAATCCTTTATCATTAGTCTGTCTACATTTCCAAAGTTCAAAATACTGTGTCACAAGGTGGAACAATGTTAATAAGGGTTAACATCTTACAGTTTCTGTCTGAGATAAGAACTCTCCTAAATAACTCCTAAATATGCAGGTTTTCTGTGTTAAACATGTGTGAATGAAACAAAACACAACTCCAGATCAGAAAATAGCATAATATAGACCCTTTGAATATACAAGCCCATGAAATGCTGTGATGCCATCAGAAACCAAGTAATAGCCCATCAATAAATTATCTTTAGGACAAATTAATTCATGTTCATGTTGTGATCTCCAGCAGTACAGATGGCATCAGAGACAGAAAGCTGGATAACTACATTACACCAGCAGTGGTCGTAGTAGCAATTTACAAAGCTTATTCTGCCCTATCATATATCAACTCAAACATAAAAAGCCTTTGTTCTAGGGCTTTAAGAAATTAGTTTGTGGAAATATAGCTACAAGGTGCACATACCTTAAAAATGACAAAAGGTACAATAATTAAAAGACAGTCCAAACAATACAATAAAAACGTGTTTATTGTTTATGTAGACTCCTATTAGCATCTTCAGCGTGCTCCATCAGCTGTTTTTTATGTGGTAAAATATTATACTTAATTAACAAATGGACATAACTTTAATAACCATTCAAATAAAAACATTTACATCTTCTTCTTGCTTATTGTGCAGAGTCTGAAAGGTTTGGATAGAGTACAAAGTCTGGTGGCTGTGAGCACAAAGGTTGTATTTTATGTGCCCTAATTGTACAATACAGAACCACACAGTAAAGAGTATAACATTTAAAGGGCCCATATTAGGCAATTTTCTGATCTATAATATAATGTTCTTTCTTCTTGAAAAACAGAATTTGAGTTGTGTTTTGTTTCATTCACACATTAACACAAATCATTGCATATTTAGGTTGTTCTCTCAAACTGAAAAGGTACTGTTCCACCTTGTGATGTCATATGATAACCCAATATAATAATAATGATTTTAAACTCCGTACACCTTCAGTAGAATCATTTGGTTTATTTCAGACCTGGTATTACTAATCTTTACTGAACAAAAAGTAACTTTTAACTTGAAAACTACTGCTTCATGACATCACAATGTGGAACAGAGCATTTTGAGTTTTGGAAATGTAGACACACTAATAATAAAGGCTTACTTAAACATATGTGAATTAAACACAACTCCATGTTTGCTTTTGGTGAGCTAACAGCATTATAATATTACTAAAAGCTCACAAGAGTCCATTTTGTGTAATATAAAGCTAAAACAGGTTGTATGTGTTATGTTATGCAAGTTGCTACATAACAAATGCCTGAAATGCAGTAACTCAAGTGTCCATTCCTTCAGGGTCAGTCATTCTCTGTCTGTGGGTGGTCTTCAACTTGTGAGGACCAACACAGAGTGGAGCTGTGTGCCTGTGTTGTCCTTAAATCATAGTATAGATTTAAGAACTCTTAAATTGCATAGTCACTAAATTAAACCATTAGTTGGCCAATGGTGGCTAATATATACAATTTTCAGTAATATGGAGATGTGCAGTCATTTATATTTAAATATTGGTTATATTGTTTTTTGATGAAAATGCTGCAAAAAGCTAAAATTAAACTATTTGATTTATATTGAAAATGTATGTTTAAGATATTGACTCTTGTCTCTTTTTTGCAGATTATTAATTTGTTCATTGCTGTCATTATGGATAACTTTGAATACCTGACCCGTGACTGGACTGTACTTGGCACACATCACCTGGATGAGTTCAAAAGGGTTTGGTCCGATTATGATCCAGAGGCCACGTAAGACATTCTCCGTTATTAAAAGTTATCTTAAAGATCCTATATTACACAAATGTGAGCTTTAAGTCATGCTATAATGTTGTTACCTTCTCAAAAACATAATTGGCCTTCGCCAGTTACTCAGTTACTGGCGAAGACCAATTGTTCTTTGCCTGTTTTTTCTTTGCGATCCCCAAAGTAACCTGACTCAACTCTGCCACCTAGAAGTGGACCCCTATGGGAGTGGGGACAAGTAAAATTAAGTGTAGGCAAATGTGTTAAACATGACACAACTATAACTAACCAGGTATGCTGATGACGAAAAAACAACAAAGCATTACAAAGTGTAAGAAAATAGTGTACCGTAATATAGGCCCTTTAAGATCTTTGATCTTTGCAGACACATTTCTCTACTGTCATTTCAATAGATAATAGTAAATGCACAAAAAATGTATTATCGTTTGAATTGCAGGGGTCGTATCAAACACATCGATCTAGTGACAATGCTACGCAGAATTCAGCCTCCTCTGGGTTTTGGTAAACTATGTCCACACCGGGTCTGCTGCAGGGTAAGCAAACATGGTTGCTACTGCCAGTGCCATTTTATCATGAACTATAATTGCTTACATAAGAAACCATTGCTACTATTAAAAAATATGCAATTTATTTAGGTCTATTTTTAAGATAATGAGTGTCTTAGGGAGAATAATTGGTATTTATACAACTGTAATTTTCTATATAAAGAATGTTTATATTGCTTTTACAGAGACTGGTGGCTATGAATGTCCCTCTCCACCATGATGGCACAGTTACCTTTAATGCAACATTGTTTGCTCTGGTCCGAACTTCACTGAAAATAAAGACTGAAGGTTTGAATATGTAGAGGAATAAAAACATAAGTCAATATATGCTTCTATAGCACTTTCTGTAATATATTCAGTCAATATGTTTCCTTTGTCTCTCTCAGGAGCCATTGACCAGCAAAATGAGGAGCTGAAGCTTATCATTAAGAAGCTCTGGAAAAGAACTAAGCCTAAACTCATAGATGAAGTTATTCCTCCCCCTAGAGGTACATTGGGACATAACACAATAAAAAGGAACTATTTCATTATGTAATATGATACACTGTACCTGTGCCTCTTTTTTTTTTTTTTTCATATTCATAGGAGATGAGGTAACCTGTGGGAAGTTTTACGCCAGTTTCTTGATTCAGGACTACTTCAAAAAATTCAGAAAGAGAAAAGAGCGGGAAAGAAAGTCCAAGAAGAAGGACAAAGCAGCTTCTTTACAGGTGAGGCGTTACAAAGTTTTGGAGTTTCTAATTATTCTTATTACAGTATATGATATGATTATATTCATACATGAGATTATTTTGAGATTGATTGATCAGATTGGGATCAGAAGCATGTTTTCCTCTTAAATGGAAAAATTCATAAGGGAAATAATGCACTAATGTCAAATATAATCATTTATAACAGGAACATGTCTTAACATAGCCAATAGTCAATTAATGAAATGCTGGTAGTGGTTGCTCTCACAAACAACATCAATTGAATTTCAAGTACTTTTGGAATTCATGAAGACATGTACTTGCAATTCTAGCTAAACAAACTGGTTAGGATCATTTGAAATAGACCTGAGCTCCTCACTGAGCAGTGGGTAATAAAGTTGTAGTAAAAGCTTGCTGGATTAATTAATCCATGCGTTTCAGAATCATGAAAAGTTAGCACAGTTGTCATAGCGTTTACCAGTTACTAGTTAGTTAAAACTGAATATTTTGATATTTTCTATATTGAATGGTGAAGAGAAAATGCTCAAAATTGTGCCTAGAAACAGGACGATAAAACCCATAAATAGGTCTAAAGAATATTGTAATGTCATCTGAAACTATTATTCTCTTTTTCACAGCAAGGACTGCGCTCCCTTCAGGACCTGGCCCCAGAAATGCGTTTGGCCATGGACCTGGAGGATGAGGAGGGGCTGGACGGAGAGATGACAGGAGACGAGATATTCACCAGTGAAGCTACATCTGCCAACACCACCCCTGCCGCCACGCCCATGCCCCCCATAGAAACCCTGGTGGAGCAGACCACTGTGTTTGTTGAACCTGAACCCAAACCAGCCAATGGGCACATAGTGACAGACCATGTGATCACAGAGCAGGTGACTGGTCTTCATGACGCTGAGAAGCCTGGATCAGAGCTGGTAGGGGTCACTGTCGTGACTGAACAGCCGGTCAAGTCTGAACCATTACCAGTCACAAGGTAAGTTTATGTCTTGTTTTACTATATATCAAACCAAATGTATGCTAATTAGAGCTGTGTTTCCCAACCATGTGTACTCAGAATAATTTTTGATTTAAAAGAAAAGTAGTATTGAAAAGCTTTTAAAAATTAAATGTTATTTGTTGTAAAGGAGAGACATATCCAAGACAAGTCAATTATTTGTTATAATAATTTTATAACAAAAATGGCAACACATTTCAAGTACAGGAGTCTTATTCAGGGCAGCACAGCACAAAAGTAAAGGTAACTCTTTAAATAGGTAGCAGGTCATGTGATAAGGGACAGTTCTATAGCTGTATATGCAAGGACAAAAATAACACAAAACAAACAAATGTTATTTTTTCTACATTTTACACACTTAGAATTTCTGTAGGATAATCATAAACAGAAATATATAATTGGCAATATACCAGTAAACAGATTTGTAATGGCTAAATAAACACTGGTACACAGTATAAAGGGTACTCAGGGTGCTAAAGAACGCTCAAGACAAAGATGTTCGGAACGACTAAAAAGAGATTATATAAGAATCTATTTTCAAATGGTGGTTCTCAAGTATCCTTGCAACAACCACCTAATCTGCAAATTGCAAATAGGTTGTTTAGTTTGTTTTTGCAATATATTTTGAGTTTACATTTAAAATGCATCAAAATGTATTATCATAAGAGCAAAGATGATCATTAGGTATACAGCATATTCCACAAAAAAAGTTAATTTTTATTTTCCTATTATGTTAATATTATGCTAATTTTGTATTTTTTTTTGTCCACTAATAATTGCGAATCTTTTAGTTCAGCAGTTAATCTTTCAGCCTTCTCTGTGTGAATGGTGATGCATTAGACATGAATAAACAGTTCAGTGTGAACTGACTTGGGATTTTAAAACATGATTCACAAATTATATCAAAATCATAATTCTCTCCAAACAGGATGACAGAGTTATCCCCTCCTCCTGCTCCTCTCACTTCTCCCGCTCCTCCCGCTCCTCCCGCTCCTCCCGCTCCTCCCACTGCTCCCACTGCTCCCACTGCTCCCACTGATCCCCCTGCTCCCCCTGTTCCTGCTGAGACGGTGGAGGCAGAAGTGATGGTGGAGGAACCTGCCCCACCACAACCAGCAGTTCCAGAAGTGCAGGAGCCGGTTTACCACAGTGAAATTGATGGAGCAAGTCTTGCATCTGACAGGTAAAAAACACATTTAAGCACTTATGTGATAACAGTTACCCAAGGGCTTCCATCCAAGGAGTAGTCAGGCCCAACCTTGCTTAGCCTCTAAGGTCTGTTGAAATCGGGCATTGACAAGCAATTGCCTAAACAGGCTGAGTACTCAACAGAATTTGAAAAGTTTTACTGTTTTTACTGATTTACAAACTGCTTTGAATATTTTCTGTGTATTAATTAATTTCTTTGTGTGCAGTAGGTCTGGGTACCCTGATGCCGTATCCCCTGCTCCGACTGAGACTGGCTACCATGACACCAGTGTGGACAGAGCGAGCAGCATAGGAGAGATGCCCTACGACACATCCAACGTCAATGGCTTCACTAATGGATTCAATGGCACCAACCTAAATGGAGAGAGTGCTGTTCCAAGTCCTAGTCCTTATCCCAATGAGTACAATACCAATGGATATAACACCAACGGGTACAATACCAATGGGTACCATAGTAATGGGTACAACGGTAATGGATATGCAGGGTACAATGAGAATGGCAGTGTCATAAGCACCAATGGAAACGGAAGTACTGTGAGCAACGGGCAGAGCAGCGGTTACAGTGGAAATGGATATGTCAACAATCAAAATGGCAATGCACAGTTTGTGAGGAGACGACTTCTGCCTGCCATACCAAAAGGTAACATTGTCTCATGGGAAAAGTTATGGAGTTATAAAGTAATGATGTTATAGCACATTTTTGTGTCTAATGGGGTTTCAGTTGCATTGTTATTTTATGTTTGTCAAACAAATTGATATCCAGATTCTAACTGATACTAAGAATAGTTTGATAACTAGCAGGATAATTAAAATAACCTTATTTTACCTTTACCTTACCTTAATTAATAGTAATTAGTAATTAAAGAAATACCATATCAAGTAAATATAATATACATAGTAAAAAAATTGTAATGTAATCTGATTCCCAGTAATATTATAGTTACCATTTCCACTAAAATTAACAGTGTCAACTTTTGCCATCATAAATGTTTTCTCTTTACTTTTGTTATAGGTCGCAAGCCTGCCTTTAATTTTCAGTGTCTGCGGCCTCAGAGCAGCGTAGATGACCTCCCTATACCTGGAACATACCAAGGAAACACCTCCCCGTCCAGATCACGACTACGGGTGAACTCATGCTAGACTTGTTTAGTCATGATTTAGACTTGGTTTGCTTTATTTTTCATTCCATACTTGCAAAGGCAATATTATTATAATTATTTCCTGAAGTAGTAGTGGGAACAAAACTATTGGGAAACACAGTGCAATTGATGTATCTCTATTTGCTAGTGCTGAGTGATATGGCCATAACAGTGATCAGATTTAATACATACAGTACAATACATAAAGAATTTTACACACATATGCACACATACACACACAGACACCTAATTTATTCCTACAAAATCTGAACTCTCCAAAGTACATGCTTTCACTTCCAAAGACTTCACAATTAAAAAGCCCTATTGAATGCTATTTGATTAAAATGAGATTAATTGCACAGCTCTACTCTTTACTAAATCCTGTTTTTAATTTCTTTATATAAGGTCCAACACAGCCTTGACTCTCGGCGAAGCAGCGTCTCCTCCCTGTCCTCTTCTTCTTGGGCAAATACGACTGCAGCTGGTACCACCCCTGTCCCGTCAATAATTGCTCCATCAGGTCGGAGGGGGAAACTCATATACACTCCCATGCTCCTGGTGGATGAGGCAACGGGCACCTCTCAGCCTCTGTGGAGCAGTGGGTCAGCCAGTCTTCCAGCCAGGAGCACCCCAGGGTGGTATCCCAGTCAGACACGAACCTTCACCAGCTCGAGACTACCTCCTGTCAGTCAAAATTATATAGACAAAGGCAGTGCAGACAGCCTGGTAGAGTCGGTGAGTAAAAATCTAACATGCTCTTTATAAAAAAAAACTTTATAAAACTTTATATAAAAAAAACAAACAAACTATACAATTTAATTAGGTGCATTCTGCAACTTTACTTGTCTTTATGGAGATGTTATTGCTTTTGCCAAGAATATTATGCAGTATCACATTCAATTTATGGATTTTACATTTATTTAATTGCACCTTTTTATTTATCAAAAATACTGTATGTGGCCTGTAACTTGACCAAGTACTGTCACCTGTTGGTCTCCATAGAGATAGATATACCGTGGAACATTCCAATCAAAAGCCCTAATATATCCACTGAAACAAGCATGTGGCCCTCCTCCACTAGAAAAGCTACATACTACTATTACAACTAAGGCTATACATTTTTTACTGTGAGATCTGCCTATAATGTCTCTTTGTGCTTGTCACCCATCAGATTTTGATCTCAGAGGGTCTTGGAATCTATGCTCGGGACCCCAAATTTGTGAACTTTGCGAAGCGTGAGATCGCAGAGGCGTGTCACATGAGCTTGGACGAGATGGAGAGCGCTGCTACAGACCTGATCGCCAGAGGAGCCAACCGATCCGTATCCCGCTATGAGGATGAACTAGCTGATGAAATAAACTGTGTGATTTCTTATTAAAGTCCACAAGGGGAACATTTTCGAGATGAGTGTAGTGTTTCATAATGACAACTCAAAAAATCATCTCAACAGAAATAGACGAAAACAAGAGACCTTCAAGAGACCTTTAAGAGTATTGTGTCAAACTTAAATAATGTGTTGGGGGTTAATATTATGGTTAAGGTACATTATATTAACTCCTTAGGAGAATTTGTCTCCTGCATTTGACCCATACTTAAATACTTCTGGGGCAACCTGTCTCTATCTTATCATATAAACCTATCTCCAGATCGTGAGCTTGGTCTGGACTACCTTAGCTAGAGGATTTTTACTATTTTTGTTTTTCCTAATTGTTGGGTATCTTTCTTGACATAAATGCTACAGATTTTGAAGGTTAACAAATTGCTTATAAGCATCTCATGACAACTGATTCACTTTTGAGTGTTCATTAAATGCCACAATTAACTTTAAAATGCAAATTGTCACAAAGTTGTAAAAAATATGAAACATTGTATATATGTATTTAATGTGTTTATTATAAAAAATAAACTATACTTAATACCAGCATATTTTCATATTTGCTTTCCATGAGCTTTATAGGGCATCCATAACCAGAGGACAATACAAGTACAGTGTGTTACATAAGTCAGAAGGAGTCAGATAGGACGTAAAATGGTTAGTATTTTCCTATTGATTCTTTTAGATCACACGTGCCTAACACACTATACAATACATTTCCTATTACAATTGAGTGATTAGTTAAATTGTTACTTAACAAATTGTCATTGGTGAGAAAAGAGATGTTAAAATGTTTCTATTTAAACAAATATTGAACATTTACTGATCTAATGATTTTTTTTTTCCATCTAGATTTTTAATACATTGTCCCACTATCAACTCAGCTATTTGGATACAAATAGATGTACTTGCCCTGGACCCTGACCTATGGGGCAATCTTAGCTCCCAATAAAACAGCCTCGTGATTGGACGGTTGGGTGTAGACGTCATGACGCCCCTACACGTCCTTGCTGTGGTCGTGACGCAGTGGCGCTGTTCCATCAAAGACATCCTCCTCCCGTGCGCTGTTCCGGATGAGCCGCCTCCCTCCCTCTACCCCTCTGATCCTCTTAACAGCGAGTAAGCGGCCAAGATGGATGTTGTAAACCAGGTAAGGCTTTGACATAAAACACTATTTTCTCTTTTATTCATTTGATGTTAGATTAAATATTTTACCTGACAGTTGCAGTCACATTCCTTGTCATAACGTGAGATTTTTCTTTTTACATCCACCGACCTTACGCTTCAATGCAGTGTTTTCAATCCATTCGAGTCGAAATAATTTATGCAGTGATTTACTGGACGGCGTTCACTATCTTAGATTGTGCTGCTACTAGACAATGTATTAAAACGTGTGCTACTGACGCTCATTGATTTGTGCAAGACTCTAGAGAAGATGTAGGCAAGATGCTGCTGTTGTGACATTTATTAGCAGAGAAGGATACACCAAGGCCTTTACCTTCTGAGATTCCGCTAGCTTAGTGAATATGAGTTGCTCACGTTAGAAATTGTGCCAGGATAGTAAGGGGGACCGTGATGGAGCATAGGCCCTTGGTGATATTGGTTAGCCGCAGTAGGCCCTTATCGCTCCGTGTGGTTCACTTATGGTTATAGAGAAAATCAAAACCACTTAAACCATTAATGAGTGGACATAAAACTGACAACGCACACTTTGACAACATGGCGAGCGACATTTTTAAAATATGGATGCTGAAGACAATAACAGAGAGAATAGCCCATAGACTACTAGACCACCACCGCTGCTTTCTCCGGTGCGGCTATTTATTGATGCATACTGGGACACACCGCCTTCTTGCAGTGTCGCATTCAACTGCAAATACATGCTTTTTAATCTCTGTCACGCATAAGAGTTTGCCCAAATTGCACTAAACCAATGTGACAATACCGGGGCATAAAAACATTAAGTTAATCAGCTTTGTCTAATTGTGAGGCTGGCAAAAGCTCCCCAGTTACTACAACGCACACGCACGTACACGTCTGAAGTAACATCAAAATGAGTAGAGCTATAGCTACAGTATCACAGGCCTATATTAAAGCAGTCTGTCTGGTTCCTAGTCCGGTACTCAGTAAGCTCCATCAAAACATAAGCAGAGCAAACCAAAGCAATCACAGTGCCACAGTGAGTACACTACACTCACCACACACCAAGGAGGTTCCCAGTTCAAATCCCAGATCTTGCTGAGTTTGTATGCTCCTTGTGCACATACTATGGGTGCTCAGCTCACCATAGAGCACATAGGCTTTTCCAAATTTAGCTCCTGGGTCTCTTTGATTGTACCCATCATTCCTCAATGGCACTGAAAACTGGATCAAACGCAAAGAATCACTCAAAACTATTAATATAGGATGTGATCATACACATATCATTGGCATATCAGTTTGAGTATAATATGACAAATCAGCTTGATGCATACCCCAGTGATTAAAATTATGATTTCTTTTGACAGTTGGTGGCCCAAGGGCAGTTCACAGTAGTCAAAACTCCATTGGGATTCATCAAAGTTCTACAATGGGTAAGTGTTTTTTAATATTTGTTCCCAGCATTCACTACAAACAAGAGAGACAATGCACAATTCCCACTGGAACTATTATGTCCCTGTATTGTATCTTTACCTTTGCTTGTCTGGGTGGTAAATCATGATGTTTCTCACTGATTTGTGACCTTGTCTGTCAGACTAAGGTCATGCAGCATCACGTGGCTTAACAATACATGTCACTGCACTCAAATGATGTGTAATCGCTCTGTTCTTGTTTGTAAGTAAGGGTAGATAATTTGAACTATATTTCTCTTTTATATTATTTTACTCAGCCCCCTGAAAACCTTCCTACAGAAACTCAAACTAAAACCTGTGATTTTAGGCAATTCAAAACAACAACAAAAAAACTTATTTTTACTTATTATTTTAAGTAAACATAACAAAATGAAGGAAAGTTATAAAAGGGGAAGGAAAATGGGACAAGGATTTATAGGTATGCTAAAAAGATATAATAGAACAAAACATTCTTTAAGTTATATTATTTTAATTGTTTTTATTATTATTATTTTTCACCCCTGGACCCATTACGAAATTGGAAATAAATACAACAAAATCTCGTACAGAGTTACATACAGAGTTGCCTTTGCCCTGGTGAGTGTAGTAAGAAGCATGTTGCCCTTTTATATAAAAGTGCACTGTGATGATAAGGGCCCCAGGCTTCTATATGAAACACTGGCAGGAAATATTACATCATCACTATAGTAACGCTTTACTACAGTGCAACTGAAATTCACGCTTTGTCATATCCTCTTCAGGCAACATCTGCATACTTTTGCTAAGGGCCCTGTCTGTGGATGAGAAGTGCTTAGGATTTCCTCTTCATAGATCCCTTGCTAGTTAGGCTCAAGAATATAACATAACAAATGTTTATTACAAAGAAGTTGGACCAAAGCTTATATGGTGCCTTTATATGGTGTACTTTTAGCTCCACCTGTTTACTACCTCTATTGTTGTCATATCTCTATTGTAGTCTACAACACCTCAGTGGGTGTTTAAAAAGTAGTTTTAATTGCATACTCCACCCATAAGACGTTGGTCTGGTGTGTGTGATCAGCAATTTTTTTGTTAATATATTATCAGAACAATATATGGGGAAAGAGGCTGCATTGGTTGGCTGTGGCCGATACGTACCGGTAATTACATTTTCTTAGCGCATAGATCTTTTTTTTTTTTTTTTTTACATTTCTGACCTTATTAGTTTGTAGTTTTATATTACTAAATCTGTTTTTTCTGCTTCTGAAAATTCCATAATCTGCTGTCATTGGACACATTTGCCTGTCATTCAATCAGAGCAGAGGCTAACCAATAGGAGGAGTAGGTGGGTAAAATTGTTTGAGCTTTAAACAGAGAAGCACAGAATGACGATATGTATCTCACCAAAATAGCATATTGTCTCAAGGATCAGATCACAATTTGATTTGTATTGGCATGTAGCCCAGCCTGAATATAAATTGTGTTGTTGGTTTGCATTGTGGGATGCCTCTGTTGAGACTTGTTTTGGTTTAGATACATTTTGATCTTACTTAGTCCAGATGGAGACTATAGAATTCCTCTTTGAGTCCTGGTTTAGTCCTGGTCTAGTCCAAGTTTAGTGCCAAGTTTAGTCCAAGTTGTGTCCTAATTTTGATGTGTTAAACTATGAAATACACTGGTGCTTTGGGTCCTGTTGTTTGTTTACCTCTATCTCTGCTCCTTCTGACTTCTGAACATGGAGCAGTGCTGACAGAAACAGGCCTCTGCTGTAATAGACTCTCCTTGTGACCCATCATAAGTGCTCTCCATCCATGGCTCCTGCTCTTCCCCGGAGCTGTGCAAGTATGCCATAGCCTCCTCATCATCACTGCTTCCTTGGGTCACAGTGAACGGACCAATCAGAGCCCGTGTAGAGGAGGCAAGGGCCCATGAATCATCTGTGTATGGCTCACTGTGCAGGAGGTGGGGTCTGTGGTGGTGCTGCATTCATATGGACATACATTAGAGGAGAGTGGGAAGAGAGGACATAGGAAACACCCATTGAGGATCTCCAGATTAGAAAGGCCTATCCTGTTACTAGGGCTGCAAAAATAATCAAAATCAAATCGAAAACGCAATTTGAATGGAAGCTTGTAGTGACTAGCAAAGGCTGCAGTTTCTGAAGTACCATAATTACCTCCCCACATAATTAAATAGTCTATCTTGTTCTTCATTAAAACTGCCAGTCTTCTAGTTTAGATCTGTACAAACATGTTCTGAAATGTCATTTTAGTATTAGTCTGTCAGTTCATATTTCAGTCTTTTGTTGATTCTACTAGACACATTCCAAATGTTGAACAGAATACTATTATTAAAATAAAAATCCCAAATCTATATGAAATGACATTACTACTTCTACATGTACAATGTTGTTAAAAACATAAGTTGCAAATGTAACTAGCAGAATGCGACACAAGTAGTTCTTTTCTTGCTATCATGAGTCATAGCAGATATATTCATCCCTCAAATCTGATCATAGTATTATTAGTATTGTAGTACCAAAGAATAACAGAAAGTTCCCAACTACTGCAAAAAAACAAACAAAACAAAACAAAAAAAATACAACAAACCCTGACACTGAAAAATGATTGTTACCTCTATTAAACAATTAGCTGATATAGTAAAAAAAAAAAGGAAAGCCTTGGAAAGAAGTGTGTAAACCCTGGGAAACAAAGCTAAATTTTGGTCTCTTTTACCCCCCTGCCCCCCTCCAACATTTGTCTTTGGGGAATTCTGCTTACAAAGCCTGGATTTGATGGATGTTTGGAGACACTCTGTTCCCCAAATAAACGTGATGCAAACAGCCGCTAAAGCTGTGGAGCTATGTCAAGTCCCATCTGTATTTATGTTCACTGACTCATACAAGAATATACATAGGACAAATGCATGGCTTTCCCCTGTGCAGCAGTGGAGGCTATCATTAGCTGTTAGTAGCTTAAGCGCTGGTCACAGTATGTGCTATGATATGGGCTATGAGGCATCTGTGCATCTGATCATGAATACAACAGATTGTGTTGATTTGATTCCTTAGTACATTAAGACCTGTGCTGTATGATGTAACAGGCCATTTTGTGCAAACTGTGCTAAGTCAAGAGTATGAGCTTTTCAGACTTTTGAGGCATTTTAGGCAAAAACAGAATAGCAGATCATGCTAAACAAGTCAAATGATGTAATTATAATTTAATTTGAGTTTTAAGGTTTATGTTTTAAAAGATTTAGGATGCTAAGATAGATTTTGTTTGGTCCTGATCTATTCCTTGTTTAGTCCAGGTTTATTTTGATTTTAGTGCTGTTTCAGCCCCAATTTTGATGTGGTAGTGAATAATATGCAAGTGTGAATGCACCCTGAGTCACCAGTGCTCATTTTAAGCATGTCTAGAAGGAATTAACACTGATTTATTAGCTCAGAGACAATGCACAAAGTACGTTATCTCACAGGTTTTTGCAAATATTCTTGCTTCCAGCCAATGTACAGGTTGATGTCACAATTTCAATATAGACATCTGATTGAGTAGTTAGTTCAATATGAAACAATCAGTGTTACAATTCCATCTAATTTATTACAGGCCTCACAATGAAATGTGTCAGTGTCACTTGAGTAAAGAAAGAAAGAACTATTACAAGTTTCACATGCTTTTCAGGGCATGTTTTTAGAGGTCTAAACATGTTACATATTGTAGTAAAGATCCCATGGAGACAGGATATTTTGTTATTGTCAAAACCTATACTATTATTGTCAAAACCTATATATTACCTTTATAAACAAAACCTTTGTGACCATTTAAACTGCGATTTTCATTGACGATTAATCATGTAATTCTAATGTTCATGCAGCTTTATGGCTCTATGTATCTTTACAGCACAGAGGAGCTGACACCTCTCCACATACCAGGAGAGCCAGTGCCTCTTCACCGGGCAGCAATGCCAAATGTGTTTCCATGGCACCAAACAATCTGAGTGCCACCGTTTGTTTCAGACTGTCCCTCTCCTCCTCTGCCTCCTTCAATCATGCTACAAGCTTCTAACATTTTAATCCAGTAAATACAGTGACAGGTTATGACATACCAGGCCTATTGCAATGCATGTTAATGGTTTTAATTAGCCAAATGCATCTCAAAAGGGAAAGTCAACAAATCCCAGATGACACTAAATGGGATTGGTAAAAGTATTGATCTCTGTATTAGCCCCAAACAGCCCCACAGGAATGACTTGGTGTAGATAGCTTGAAATGCATGCCTAATATTGTAATATATCTATATTTGTATGTGTATGTGTTATTTCATCCGCTTTTTTTTTACCTGTTATTCTTTGAAAAGATAGAAATAGATTTTAGATGTATTTCTGTATATGTTTACATGTCTTGAAGGGAATCCCTGCCCTCTGTGTCATATGATAGTGGCTATTGATTTGTGACACAGCTGTCGTGTTGTTTTATTGTAATTTATGGTACTGGGTAATCCACTCTTGTGACTTTACTTTCCCAACAGTACAATTATGGGTTTTTTTTGTTTTTGTTTTTTTTTTCAAGTTGATAGTGATTAGATACAAATTTCCCATTTTTCCCATGAAGCTTACAGAGCCCCATACCTGTCCATATATAAAATAAATGTCTAAGGAATAAATCTGTATAATCCCATGAAATCATGCAGTATATAATTCATTAAAATCATAATTAATGTAAAAATATTAATGTTTTCTGGTTGACTAAACATATAATTTTTTATTTTTTTTAACAAAATTATTTAGTAAATTATTTAGTATGTTTGTTTGTTTGTTTGTTTTTTGTTTTACTAAATTAAACGTTGCATTAACATTGTATTGGTGTATCCCTAGTATTAAGTATATAATTTGTCATAATCCCAGATTTCCAAACTAACATGCTTCAAAGAGAAACCCTAAACAAAAGAGTAAGTCTCGCAGTCCCACAATGAGACCCAATGCTTTAAGTCTTAAGTACAAATCTGCCATAACAAGACTCAGAGCCACATTAGCTAGATTACTTTAAATAGTTCAGTGTGTTGATGGCCATAGACAGTAGTACAAGAGCAGAGTTAGGTTTGCTCAGGTACTTAGCTCACATGCGGAGGCGTGGCTAAGGCTTTATTGGTGTTTGTGGTTGGGGCCGTGGCGACAGATGGTACAGCACCTCAGTCAGATTAATAGGTGGATTTTCCATCCAATCGGATCTGGTCTGGAGCGTGGGGAGGGTGTGGTAAAAATAGTCTAATCTGCAGAGTGTGAGAGAGTGGGACTTTATTTGTAGTCTCTGATTATATTATGTGCATTAGAAAAAGACCTCTGTTCAGTAGGGGAGGGGCTGTTCAATTACAGACAATGTAATAATCACAATTATTTGGATGATAATGGAAATTATAATTATTTGAAATTGAACATGGAGGGCAGGGGCATATCTAACTCACTGTTTTTGTAAGAAATTTCCAAACTGATGATTCAGAAATGTTGATTGGGGATTATCTCCACAAATTTGCAATATTAATATGATGGCTTAAAGGTATTTGAACTGATATTTCGACACGCTTTTAAGGGTTAGGTGTGTGAAAAGGGTTAGGCGTGTAAATGTGTGAACAATTATTTTGGGGGAAAAGACCTATTGGCTAAGGAACAGGAGAACACATGCTCCCTCATCTCTTAATCAGGATTTGTGAAATGATTCCCCAAATATTAATATCAGATATGTAAAAGGGCTAATAAATAACAGCATAGCATTATACATACCCTAAATTATCTTCTTGCCCAATATTCAGAGAATACACCCCAAAGAAAATTAAGTTCTGGAGTAAATGTATCACCAACGATGTATTGTTCACACAGTTTACAAATACTACAAACAGGGCAGCTGTGACTACAGTAGTACCACCAGGCAGGGAGTGAATGACTAATTACTACCACGTAGCACTTTGAAAGGCTTGTCAAGCTTGTAGAGTGCAATAGATATGTAAGACCTTACTATTATAAACAAATAAAGAAATCAACTTAATAGCAAATAAGTGTTACCATAGCAGCAGATGCAGATGTGATAACTGATTTGTGGATGAATGCAGAATAAAAATAATTACAATTTTAAAGTATTTTTATTTTTGTAAAACCTAAGAAAATGTAAAAAACGTGTGCATTTATCTTTTTCTTTCAGATCTTTGCAATTATGGCCTTCTCAACATGTGGCAGTTATTCGGGTATGTTGAAGATGAGTGTGGAGTGTGAAAACCGATCGGAGAGTGACCTGGGAATAGAAGTACAATTTGAATACCCCTTTAGGTCAGTATTTCCTAAGATCCAGATCACGTTTCTTTATACAATGTACTATTTGTGTTGCTCACGTCCTTTCCCTCGCCCAGGCTCCATCAGGTGTACTTTGATGCCCCCACCTGTAAGGGAGGGACCACTGAGCGCCTGTTCCTGGTGGGAGACTACTCCTCGTCCGCTGAGTTCTTTGTCACCATTGGGGTCTTCTCCTTCCTGTACTCAATGGCAGCGCTCTCTGTGTACTGCTTCATTCTGGAAAAGTACAAGGAAAACAACAAAGGAGCCCAGATTGTAAGTTCAATTATTACATTATGTAATACTTTATGTCGCCATCAGTGTTAACATGTACCTGCCCCTCAGGACTTCGTGGTGACTGCGGTATTTGCCTTCATGTGGCTGGTGTCCTCTTGTGCTTGGGCCAAAGGCCTGTCTGATGTGAAAACAGCCACTGACCCTGAGAGGGTCATCACCCTGATCGCAGCCTGCGATGAGCAGACGGTCCGTTGCCGTGAGATTTACGACCCCAAAGTCTCTGGCCTCAACACCTCAGTGGTATGTCCCATATCTTCTCCTGTTCTGACAGTGAACTTTGATACCAATAGACACAAAATAATGGTGATCCTGTCCTACTCAGGCCTTCGGCTTCATCAATGTGATCCTGTGGATTGGGAACCTGTGGTTTGTCTTCAAAGAGACTGGCTGGATGGCAGCTTTCGGTGGAACGTACATGCCCTCACAAGAGAAGCAGCCTGCCCCAGACTCGTTTGGGCAGGGGGGATATGCACAGCAGGACCCCTACGCCGGCTCCCAGGGGGGGTACCAACCCGACTACGGCCAGCAAGGGTACAGCGAGGAGGGAGGATACAACCAGGGCTACGAGCAGCAGCCCACCTCCTACTCTAATCAAATGTAAACCAGTCCAGCTGCAGCAGCTACAGGGCGTGAGTACCATCACTGAGCTGTTAATTGTACTGCATGTAGTTAAATGTGTAAAGTGTTCTCTAACCAGTACTCTAGGGTAGTCAAGTACTTTGCAAGGGTACTTATATATTTTAGGTAAAACTTTGTATTTAAATATTAATTTCAAAGGGAATTCATCTACCCAAGGTACACATAACACAAAAGAATGACATCCTTTCTTTACACAACACGTATAGGTTATGATTCTTGAGTTAGTGTTCAGGTCTGTCCCTCACATATTCCTGTTTTCTCCACAGGGTGATCTGATTACAGAGTGTGGTCGTGTCCGCGCTCCTCTGTTCGTCTGTGTGCGTGTCTGTGATGGGACAGCGGCGGGAGGAGAGGGAGGGAACAGGATGTGGGACAAGGGTATGTGGGTCTTTACTGTATCATGATGTTTATTCTTGTGATGTATTTAACTGTAGAAGACAACAGAGGATTGTCTGTTTGGTTTTATGAGAAAAACTTGAATACAATACCAAAACATTAATTCACGAACATTTAAGAGAAATCTTGTAATGTAAAAGACATTTATGAAAAAAGCTGTAGTAATATTTAACTTGAGAGAATGTATTGTCTGTGCTGTGTAAATATTAACATGCTGATATATAAATATATATATATGATTATATGTACTCAGTTGAATAACTGTGCACTCCATATCAGTTGTTATACAACAAATGTTGAGCACAGGGTTATTCAATTGCTTTTACTTTGGTTCTGTTTAGGAGCTCACATAGTTTAGTCTATGCCACTCATCTATAACACTGGAAGTCAGCTCATTTATTCTATGGATGTTTTTAATTTTGTCTGTCATATTTAAAAAAAATTTTGTTATCAAACGTGACTTGATGAGGGGGTGTTACTGAAACTGTGATGGAAATTGTTTAAAGGGAAATAATCTATTTATGAAAAAAATAAAAGTAATGACTTTAATGGAAAGTGTTCAAAAAGATGAAGTATTTATGTTCTATAGGTTTTTGTACTCAGTTACTGTCAACCAAGGCTTTATCCTTGTGACATCCTGACATACAAATGAACTGTGTGTAGGTCATATGTAGTGAGCATGGTAGCCTATCCCGTTTACTATGCCGTTTCTGCAACACTTCAGTGTGATCAGTACAACATGAGTCAGGACTCTGAGCAACAGTGTGTTTTATGTTTGGATTTATGTAACAGAATTGTGTCAGTTTTGTGAATGAAACTTGTCTTGTTTTGATCGCCTTTTATGTGATCCAGAAAGTTGTACGAAAGAGTCATATAGTTTTTTAAGTGGTGTTACAACCACACTGTAGTTACATATCTTCATTAACATAAGCTATAGATAAATCAGAGGGAAACACATCTTGGGGCACAAACAAATTGTGCTACTTATCATGTTTTAAAGGTGTTCTTAATATAATAGTATTCTTCTGCATCTTCAGCCCTTGTCTCTCTATTCCTCAAGGCAACTGAATTTATTGCATGCATTTTACTACTTATATCCTTAAGCATCCTTATACAATTTCAGAGGCTGCTGCTCCAAGCTGCAAACGCATTACAACTACACATTTTAAACATAATGTTTGAAAGGTCATTGTAGTGAGAGCATTTTCAACAGCTTTGCCCCATTTAACAGTCTGTAAAGCACAGTGCTCCAAAAATGACTTTCTTCCAGATAAACTACCTGACTTCACCACAGACATAACACATTTGCCAAATACAGTCACATACCTTGATAACATGCTTTCACAGGCCTTATCAAAACAAATTGTCCATTATACAGCCTAGGTAACACAATTTTCTTTATAAATCAGGGTTCTTAAATTAAAGCTGTTACACGCTCACTAGCCCCCACTTCTGATTTCTCTCTATTTCACTGTAGCTCTTATAAATATGCTGAAATGAACTATACTCTATTCGTAGTGGTGAATGATGTCTTGTGATACTCTACGGCTTTGGATAGTGCTGTGTTTATTGTAATGTATTAGTATTTATGATAATGATTAAGTCAGGAAAAATATCTGACACTCTCCAGAAACCTGCTGTATTATTATATTGAATCCATGTGAAACTAAATTAAATAAAACTTGAAATTATTATGTTGAAAAATGTGAGTTCTTATTCCTAACATATACTGCATATTCTGGTCTAATTGTCCCACTCATTGCAGATATAGGGCCCTCTAGTGGTTGGTTCTTTAAAATTCCTGTCCATGTTTTCATCAATGCAGTCAACATGAATTTCAATTTGCTACTTTAATCTCTTATGGGAATATATTTTTCAAATTCTTGGGTTAAACATTCAGTAATTCAGAAAATGTTTGAAAGATGTTAAATAAAAATTACTTAATTAATTAAAGCTATTCAACTTCAGGGCAGACTTCAACACAGCTGTCAGTCACTCGCACTCCATACCATCCTGCCCAGTATATGCAGTCTTTGCCTCCATGCATAAAGTGAATGTATCTCACTCCTGGGCCATAGTTCCTGAATGTGTGCGTCATCTGAAACAGAAAATATCAGCTGCATCTAAAAGTTATAAGACAACAGCCACGATTTACAGTCTGTTATTAGACCTACACAATACCACAGGTGATTATTCTGCTCTTCAATGTAGACTGTCTTTGGTCCAAACGTTTGTATACACTTTTTCGTTTGGTTTAACAAATCCACTTGGAATTTATACAAACAATTACAACGTGATGCATACCTGCAAACACAAAAACAACTGTATTTCAGGATATTTTTTAATTTAAACTCTATTCCAGTGTTCAAATAAATATTTGTAAATGACAGTGTAAGATTCTCACCAGTCTGTTATTTTAATTGGTGGCTGATACTGATCCATAAATGAAGCATTGTATCCTTCAGACTTCAAATCGATCTCCTGTGACTTCAAACACATGCTAAAGCATTTGAAAATGCATCATTATCATTTTTATTTTTAACAACGCAAAATAAAACCACAATATTTCATTTCCTACTGATAAGAGGTCACAAAGTTTTTCTGAACTTCAGGATTCGGATGTGGCCATATAGGCTTCTCAATCACCCAGTTGTCACCTCCATTTGATACAATTTGCCAGAACTGAAATTCTTCTGCAAAAGAACAGACATGGTTGTTAAATTACCTTTGCAAAGTCTTACAGAAGAAATGTGGTGAAAATATAGCCACTTTCTGCTCTTGGATTCTTCAGTAGATTTCTCCTCTTTTTTCGTAACACATAATATATTCTCCAGTCATCGGGGGTCCTCGTCACATCACGAGGCAACAAGCCCTCTCTTCTGCATCGTTCCCTCCACAGACAGTCGCTGTCAGCCACTTCCTTCCATTGTTTACACACTAAACTGCAACAACGAATCACCTGATCATGAGGTAGATTATGGAAGATCTCCTCCAATATCTCCAAAGGAACAGAATAAACCTAGAAAAAAGCAATCATTAGAAATGTCTACTTTAATTAATTCAGATGAACCTTAAACTTTGAGACTCAAGACAAGAAGGCAATAGTGCTAGCATCCTCCAACTGGTTTGGAGACAGTAGGCTAATACAATGACAACTGAAACCCAGATAGTATACTCTAAACTCATATGATAGAGCATTTTCGTGTTTTTTGCAAACTGGCTTTTGTAGTAGGATCCAAATTTAAGAACTTATTCTGCCTACTGATATAGAAAATAACTTTTACATAAAGTAAAATACTCAAGCTAAAACGTATTTCAATTTACTCCATAGCTGATGACACAGATGCTAGCTACTGTATGATTTAAATTATTTTTTGAGTAGCCAATACACTTAGCAACAATTAGCCTTTAAACTATGGACAAAAATCCTTACCGATGATACCTCAGCTGGAACTGAAGATGATCTGCTGAGAGCGTCGCCCATGACTTCTTTTCTGAGAGGGATTGTTTTTCATCCCACACTTGATCAATACCAATCACTTAACGATTTGTACTACTTAGATGTGGTTCTCTAATGCCATTGATTTAACAATATTATCCTTGTCGTAACGATCATAACAAGGCTACTTTCAGTTTTGAGTTAAAAAAAAAAAAAAAAAAAAAAAAAAAAATTGTATTTCCTATATGCTATTTGACGTCCTTCCTCCACGATGCTTTTGTTTACTAAACTAAGAAAAAATATAGATAGACAATGTACAAGCAGTCACAGAAAAATTCTGTTATTTAGAAGAAAATTAATTAAGATAAAATTGACCAATTTACCAATAGTTACCATGTATTCTACTGCCTCGGGTAACCAGGCAAAGAGGAACATTCCTACTACCCAAACAAAGATAAAACATTGGCCTTCCTTGGACAGGCTACAAGGCTACATTTTTGCATGGGCTATTTTTACTCTTGAGCGTTGCTACGAGCCACGGGTTTAATGAGGCGTGTAGTTTACGAGTGGCTCCTGAACGCAGCACGGCGCGCAGCCCTTCCCAGCGGTGCCAAAAGTGCCAACAACTCCCCCCAGAGAAAAGTGAAAGCCAACGCCCCATCCTGGGCCGTCCCACCCGCTCACAGACACGGCAGACTTTCCACGCATTTGGCGCTGCATTGCCAGGCTTCAGCGGGGATTTTTACCGGGGCTATTTTTGCACAATTTGGACTTATAGAAAAAGACCCTGCCCGCAGCCTGTACCAAGAACTCAACCTCCACTAAACTTCAAAGAGACATTAAACACAAGTTTGTTAGTAGAAGCGCTTTCTTACCCTAAAAAGTTTCTACTGTGTATAACTAGCTTTAACGTGTAATTTTTAAGTTTTGATAAATTCATTTAGTCACATCATGGCCGATACAACGACCAGCTCCGGCGGAAACTGTGTGGATAAACTGAAAAGTTACGTGAAGACGCAAAAAGGCTTCATCCTCGCTGGAGAAATAGTAAGTGCACATAACGGCAATTTTTCCGGAGCGCCCTAAACGTGCAATAATAGACTCCTACTCTAATACTTGTGGCGCTGCGTAAAAGCCATATATCTTAGCTATTACTAATTCATTATTGATGGATAATGTAGTGTGGTTATTATGTTCTATACAAACTTCTAATAGCATGGTGTGTTTGATACGCTCATATTATGACCTATAAATCAATGGTGGTTGGTAGCAGAGAAGGAGGGAGAATGATAGGCATGCGGTCTGTGGGCTACGGGTGCAGGCGAGGTTAAGGGTTTCCACCTGTGTTGTGTGTTCACTTCTTCTCATTTGGCACTAAACAGCTAAAAGTGTCACAATCAACAAGGGGTTACATGGGTTAATGAGGAATCTATGCACATAGACACCTGGTTTGACTCTGGCTTAGATCTGCTTTAGTCCTGGTTTAGAACTGGTTTAATTTTGTCCTAGTCTTGGTTTAGTTCCAGTTCGGGCTTGATTTACTGCTGTAGAGTTCTGGTTAAGTCCTCCTTTAATCTTGCTTTAGGTCTGGATTTCAGTCTCATTTTGCTTTGGTCCTTTGGTCCTGACATAGTCCTGATTTAGTCTTGGTGGTCCCTGTTCCCTTGTCCTTGTTTAACACTGGTTCATACCTGAGTTATGACTAGTGTAGTGTTTGCTTTTGCTCTAATTTTACACTGTTATGATGTGTTTATGGATTTATAGCCTATATATATATATATATATTCTTTTTTATGGTCTATATCTGATTTAGACCTTGTTCAACTTGTTTTGACCTTGTTCAACTTGTTTTAGACCTGGTACCCTTCTAGTCTAACCACAGTTAAGTCATAATTTACCTGACATTAAAAATAATCAACTACTGTAACTGTTACGATTATAGCCCATTTGCATGCACCCAGCCGTGCGGAAACCTATCAGATCTGAACTAAACTGAATGGCACTATAACTTTAAAATTACTCATGTGTAGTTAAAATCTTCCACTTCCTGACCAAGGCACAACTGCTTCCTGTGGCAATATGTTTTTTCAACAGTCCTTGAGACATATGGATGACTTCACCTTACTGTAAGTTCTGTCTGCTGCACATATATTTGCATAGAGTTACCATGAAACACACCAGAAAAGACCATTATATTTATCTTAACCTAACTTTGAGCAGTAACATTTGCATAGTTAGTGTTTCAATAAAATACTCCACATACAAACTCAGTTTATGTCCTATCATAATAATTTGTCAGTGGATGTGCAGCCCCTTGGTAGCTGCTGTACTACCACCCACAATGAAGTAAAAAAAAAAAAAAAAAGTCCAGTCAATGTGAGCACTGAGCGGTTTATCCTCAAACAAACAATAAGCCTATCCTGGTGTCATCAAGAGACACTTAGTCACCTAACAGTTAAAAATGTGTCATGTGTTGCAATGAGATCTTGATAGTGGTAGATTTCTATTAGTTAGTAGCCTTTTACTATCACTATAGTCACTTTGTCCATATGAATAAGTACAATTAATCATGTATTAAGATGACCATTCAACTAATTTAAAACTACATACAGTGGATTTGGGTCACTAGTAGTAAGAGTGCAGCAGGAACTACCTCTTCCTGTTATTTTTAGTGTTTGTGGTTGTGTATGTTGTAACCATGTGTCTAAAAAGTGCATTATGTAATTTTTTTGGTAGAGGATATGTCACCTGCTTGTAACCATGGAGATATTATTGCTTTGACTTGATTATATGCTCCATCCGAGAACTTTAAATGCAGCTATCTAATTTATTCAATTACAGTGGTTTGTATTGTTAAAATAATAGCTTGAAAAATGTATATATATATTTTTTTTTTACGCGCCTGCATGGATCTGACCTGTAACTAGGCCTGGGGGTGTCACTGGCTTGTCTTCATGGAAATAAATATGTTTAATGCTGAACATTCCAGGCAAAACAATACCATATCCATGGAGACAAGCACATGGTGGACCATTCACTAGGAAACGTTACACGGTGCACTTTTTAAATAAAATAACATTCTAACTGAAATAGCAAAATGTCTAATAGAGTTTTGAGAACATAACAGGAAGGTGACTGCGATTTGCCACACAGTTTGGGGCTTTTAATCTGATCAGAATCATACTCCCCAGTCACCCTTATCACTTTAAGCCGGAAGTAACTTACATAACACATTCTTATATTAAACCAAAAAATGCCTTTCCACTTAGGCTAAAACCGTACTATAATTTATCATGTCCTGACAAATCCAGTGTAACTCTTAAGTGAAATTATTTAGCTTCTGACATGCAGTACAGGAGCATGACTGGTCTTGAAGATGTATTGGGAACAGTTGTCAGGACACACACCCATTTACTGCTCATTTGTTTGCTCTGTAATAGCAGGATGACTAATGTACTCTGCTCTTTACACTACATTACTCTTGCAACTCTGACTACTATGCACATGTATATAGGATTTTTACAGCTCAATAACATAGTTCCTCCCCCCCTTTAAAATATATTTGTAAAAGAATATTTGTTTATGATTGTTTGTTTATTGACACCAAATGGAAACTTGTGAAAATCTTCAGACTTTAGACTTTTATTGTCCCCAAGGGGAAATTCATTCCCACACACACAGATGTCATTGTGAAAGTCTAATGAGACTATTTAATTTGACATAATATTAGATCTATACCTGAATGTTATGTAACCAACTTCAGTAAACCTACTTTAATTTTTTAAGTAATTCACATATTTCATGATTCAAATTGAATGTTTTTAAAGTTCAAATCAGGCAGCATCATCGCAATATATATTTGTACCTTGGCAAGAGTCAAGCACACAAAACCACATCAAAATGCATTAGTAAACTGTGACAAAAACAGTAAAATAGACTAGCATAGTTGCCATGGCAATTGAAAGTGACAAAACAAAATATTATATCTTTTGAATGTCTATGTTTTCAATGGTGAATACATATTCTAGACCAGGGCCAGAACATGACCAAGTCTGTATCAGGACTAACCTAATATAGAAGAGGAGGCCTAGAAAGCATAGGCAAAATTTATGAGAAGAAATTTCCACTTTAACCCAATGCTACGTCAGCGAAAATGAGCACTGCATGAAAACCAAACCACTAAAATACATGGGATTTCCCCTAGCAACTGTTGCTATTTGGTGTGTCCCTATATTCCACTGGCAAGCTCTTGGCTCCAAGCTGCTCAAGTTGCTGCGGCTGCCTATATATAGTCAACAATTCACAACAATTTTGCTGTAGTAATTTTAAAAGAAGAGCTCGTTATAGCTTTGTATACTGTTTTGACTGAGCAAACAGATCTTTAACTGTATTTGAAATAAAAGTGTCAGTAGTTTTTTTGTTTCTTGTGTAATGGACATTCCTCTATGTGATTCTTCAGTATTTGAGGCCAGTATAGAGCTTCTTTTGTCCGTGCCACTACAGAGGCAAGCCTGTGCCAGCCTCGTGAACACATGAAGCACTGATGTGTCTGCAGTTTGTGTAAGAGTTAGGAGGAGCAGAGAGGGGAGGGGCTGCCAGCACAGATGTGGCAGAGCAGAGGTGCAGAACTGTGGCCATATGAAGCAGAAGCTAAGAAGTTTCTTAAGTCTGTCCGTGGGTTTCAGAATGATGAGACATTAAGACCGTTACCATAGTGTTTAACGGTATAAAACAAAATATTATATTTGAAAATGCTGCAGAACAGGAAGCTGAAAGCCATGTGTAATGCTAGTAGTTATCATGTTTAGTTGTGACCTGAATGTGAATAAAACAGGTATAAATTCAGACTAAACAAATGTGAACCACCAAAAACCAACAAGTCGACTAATGTGCATATTTTCAGTTATATTTATTAATTAAGTGAAAGCAGTGTTTAGAATAGACATTTTGGGTACAGTAAAATAACAAAACTATTTAATAGTATCACTGATACTTTCTGTTAGGCTTCTGTAGGATACACTATAGCCCCTCACTGGAGGCTGTTACATCATGGGAGTATCATTTGGACCATGGTGATTTGACACTGACCCTAAACTGGTTTGACAAAATAAAATACACAGATTGCAGGAGTTTGTGTGTGGCCAGTTTCAGGAATGTGGTCTCATTGAGAGCCAGATATTTTCTATTTGGCATTGGTTTAGTTTGTAACTCATTAATTTAATAAAATTGTTGTTGCATTTTGAACCATTTGAAGTAGTAATGAATGTGGAGTTAGGGGGTAATATGTTTGGCATACATTATTACAGTAATAATATTGTAATAGTTTATGCATTAATTGAATTCACTTATCAAGGGTTAATGACAACTTGCAGAATTCTAAACTCCTACAAAGATTGTACATGAATTTACAATCTCTGTGTGGCATTTGCAGACAATCTCAATGTTACTATCAATACTCAGTGGTTCTCTCGTGGAATCTTTTAGTAAAGAGATCTTGGGTAAAATTTCTTCCTCCTCAAGGGCATAATCTATACTTTTATACAGTGTCTGACATAATTCTAACTGTAATGATGAAATATTAACTATAAATGAATGAAGCAAATAAACGTAAATCTGCATTAACAGTTTACTCCCACTAATTTTGGTTTAGATCTGATTCAGTCTGTGTTTAGATCTGATCATTGGGACTTGGTTTATTTCTGGTTTACAATTGGATTAGTCTTGGAATAGACCTGGTTTAAACTTTCATGCCATTTTGTTCCTGGTATAGTCCAGATTTAGTCTGTTTGAATCTGTCTTTGTTTAGTCCTGGTTTAGTTCTGAAGTAGACCTGGTTTAAACATTTGTGCTGGTTTAGTCCTGGTTTAGTCCTTGTTCCACCATAGACTGGAACTGATTCAGTCTGTTTAGTCCTGTTTTATTTCTGTTTTAAAACTGGTTTAGTCATGGATTAGACCTGGACTTTGCTTGTTTGTTATAATCCTTTAATAGATATAGCTACTGGACTAGCCTACATTCCCTCCAGGTCAAATACAAGCTAAACATCAGTCACTGGAGTTAACTCACTCAGAACTGTGTATTTTTATGTTAGATTGGACCATTTCTGTACTTTCCACTCCTTCATATCTGTCACTTGGCCTTCTTGACCGAATTCATCTACCCACATAGTTTGACTGCAGCAACAAAAGAACTATTGAAAAGTGATAGTATTTCTGAATCGTGGGCTGGTTTTCTTCTCTCCAAGCTGGCAACATTTCAGTGGACTGAGGAGAATGCTCATGCAGTTTTCCCTCATATGGAAAAATATAGTAATGGAAAAACAAAATGTAGCAAGAATATGTCATTGAAAGGCTTTTTTACAAAAAGAAGTATGTTTTTCTTTCTAGGGATACAACAATACCTTTTTGTTTTGATACATCGGTTACAATATTGATCAAATTTCAGTACGTTTTAGGCAAAAAAAAAGGTGCTATTATGAATACACATGTAACTTTTTTGAGAAGGGTGTGGTACCTGCTAGTCTTCATGGAGATGTTATTGCTTTGCCTAGAATGTTTCACAGTTTAGTATTAAGCTTCCTAATAGAGACAAGTAGATGATGCAACCAGATCATGTTCCAAGTCAGGTCTGTAGAGAGGAAAAAAATAATCCATATTTTTTAAGTTAATTGTGAGCAATAAAAACACCTATAATTAAATATGTGCTAGCTAAGTTTAATGTCATACTGTGGAACATCCAAGGCAAACTTCTCCATGACGAGACAAGTGATGAACCTTCCTGAGAAAAGTTACATAGTGGACCTTTAAATTGCATTATAACTCTAAGAACTGCATTTAAAAGTTCATAAAATCTTTGTTGTTCCTGTTGTTACTAGAATAAAAAGTAGCTCAAATGATTAAACATTCTATTTTAGAATAAGATAGCATCTCTAGTTTTTTCATACTTCAAATAGTTTCAAATGGCTGACCAGTGAACAATGCTGCTTGTGTTGAATGATATATTGAGCAAATAGACAATTTTTTGTTAATTTGAACCCAGATGCTTTGTTGTTTTAGGGGCGACATGTAGCCAACATACAAACCAGTTTATGAGGCATTTAAAGTAACACAGAGGAGAGGAATTTCTAGGCTTTGTGCGACTGTGGGGTCACAGTCTAGTGGTATGTTAGGACTTCCACATTGTTGTATATGTGTAGTTTTAACAACACAATTTACAGCATAGTAGTTGACTAATTTTTGTCATGTAGGTAGTGTCTTATAGTTTTCCTGACCCCAAGGCTTGGCTATTTTTTGCAGTTCATTAAAGGTGATATAGAACATCTCATGGGAACACTTAGTGCCTCCTTACAGTTTCTTGGAACAGATTAGAATTAATATAATATAGTAATACCAGAATAATATCCTTTTTATTCTTTATTAAAATCTTCATGATTGCAATGAAGTTTGAAAGTCCTGGTTGAGATGTAGTACCTTAATTGCCACTATAGGGCTGTGCAATTAAACAATTTTAATGGTTTTCTATTCAGTCATTTCTAATTGTCAAGGATCAGCTTGTTTACTTGTTTTTTTTTTTACATTGAGAGGTCTATAGCCGATCCTTTGTCAGTAAAAACGTGTGCTTTAGAGAGTTGAAACTCTGGAGGGAGACAGATTTTTTTGTGTTTTATTTTTTTGTAATACATTTTTTTTTATCAGGCAATAGGATATGTTATATTTTGTGATACATTCTGTCATGTTACTTAGCTTTGCTTTTGCCTAACTCTGATTTCTTTTCATTGCAGCTCCTCAGCTTCATCATCATCATCTGCTACGCTGCATCAGTCTATGCCGGATACTCTGCACTGGCCATCTGCGAGATGATCTTTGCCATCGTCTTCTTTGTTGTCTTCATGATGGGGCTGGACAAACAGTTCCAGCTGGTCAACTGGATGTGGAGTGTAAGTAAATTTTTGCTTGAACTAATAGAAAATGAGAAATATTGCTAGGGCTGGGTGCTGCGAGGCTACTGGGAGTAAGAGTTAAGGTTCTATCAATAAGTTTAGTTTTGAAAATTTGTGCAGAAAAAATATATTTGTCTTTTGAGAACAAGTTTGTTAAAAAAATGTAATAAAATAAAATTAAAAAAATGTAATAAAATCTATAATTTTTCTTCATATATATATATATATATATATATATATATATATATATATATATATATATATATATATATATATATATATATATATTGATCATGTATTGTCCATTGTCCCTGCATGTACTCGGACCTAGTTGGAAGTATTGTGTTGGTGTGTTGCACACTGAAAATTTGTCGGAATAATGGGTGTGTTTAAGATGAGAAGGGGTTTCGTAGACTCTGATAATACCGTGAGAACAAGGTGGCAGCAGGCAGGTGAAGGCGAAAAAAGGCAAGTGCAGTTGTCTTCACCCGTCTTTGCCTTTGTGTTTTTCCTATAATGCACGAATTAAGTTATGTCCCTTGTGGATCATCAATTTGAGGCAGAGAAAATGTAAAAGAAATGAGGAGCTCTTTGAAATTTATGTTGGAGATACAGGTGTTAACTCATTGCACAGGACAGACTGCTGATTTTGTAGGATATGGCGATTAATTATAATCTAAAATTAATTAGGCTATGAAAATAATGAGTTGTTTCCAAAGCATGAGAAATTAAAAAAAAAAAAAAAAAACACTTTACCTTTGGCCCTGATTCTCATATTCCTCAGAACCGGAGCATCTCCCAGCAGCAGACGTTCAGCAAACTGGGCTTTCACGCATAACCCCGGGCTTTAAGCCTGACATCAAATTCTTATCGCAGAGTCCAAGGGCTCCACTGTTTACAGGAGGAGGTGTGCCTGCTGTGGGCCGCAGATCACCTTCTCCTGGGCAGCACAGGTGCCACTGCACCATCTGTGCACATGCTGTGGCTTTGTTTGTCTCCTGCTATCCCGCTTCTGTGATATTGCTTCAAATTTTTCGAATTCTGCCCCAAGTAGTCCGTAGTCTTTTTGATAATTGACAGCACTAGTCACAGTTGAAAGTTTAGCCTGAGTTTCCCCCACAGGTCTCCCGTTCTGTGCGCATGCCTCTCCTGACTCTGACTTTTATTGTCATGGCGCTGCAACGGAAAGTAAATTAGACATAGGTCACAACTTACTATAGTTTATTATAAAGCAATAAATAAATAATGTGAATCATGCATTCTCTCAGATTCCTGGTGATTGTTCACAGCATTACACACTGTTCAGTATATTTCAGCATCGGCACCATCCACTCCAGTGTCATGGTGTGTCACTTCTCGGTCTGGAGTCATCTTTGTTGTCTCTTTACACATGCATCGACATGGTCTTTGAGCTGATTAGTGCACCAGGTGCACACCAAAGTGAAATGTTTGTGAAAATGGCTATGAAGAGAGCAGAATTTGTGAATTGTGCATAAATATTGTAATTAATTCGGCCCTAGTTTCCTTTGAGCACATGGTGATGGTGTTATTGATCTGTTGTCACACTGTGGGCTTCTTGTTTCTGTGCAGGACCTTTTTCGGGCTGGCATTGGTGCTGTCCTCTACCTCATCACGTCTCTGATTTGTGTGATCGGGGGCTCAGGAGATGGAGCCAGGATTGCAGGAGGGGTCAGTCTAACTTCTGTCATTCACTTTCTAAACTTAAGTTTAAGGTTTCTTTTTTATAGTCATGCGAGCTCCGTTACATCAAGATTTTGAATGTAGCTTGTGCTCGTACTGATTTAAAAATGGTACTGCAATTACAACTGAATTTTGGTTGTCAGTGCCTAAGCCTGCAGAACGGTGTTCCACAAACACATTTTTCCTGTTTCATGTGAAAGCTCAGAACCTGGAGACTTCATGCAGAGGGTGCACTAGCACCGATTCAGGATTGGCTGCAGGTGCTGGGGTTTTCACATACTGGTCGAGTACTACAATAATCTTAAGTTGCAGTACTACATTTTAAAGTATTGGTCAAGCAAAGTGTATCTTAACGTATCTTAACTTCAGGATGTGTTTAAGACATTACTATAACAGTTTAATGATGATGCAGTCTTTTTGACAGTAGGGTAGTAGTCAGCATTTCATGAATCATTTCTTATGTTTCCTCCTTGTTCCACACTTCTGGTTGAAGGTTACACACTTCATTTTTACAGGAAGTTGCAACTGAAGGTCTGAAAAGTTGTGTAAAAATGTTTTTGGTTTTTGCTGAAATTTGTCATCCTTCTTCATATGCCAGCAACTATTATGTAATATCTGTTTTTTTATATTTACTTATTAAGCAGAGATTATTATTAGTGATGATGTTATACCAGTGGATTGAAAAAACAAATACTGGTAAAGGTGTGAAGCCAGATTCAGAACAATATTTGATGCTTAATATTGGCACACTGCTTTTGAATTTCATGGGTTCAGTTCAGATATAACACTGGTCTTTATTTTGGCATTTTGAATAATAAAATGTAGATCATTTTGAAGGTGACTTGATGTTTTCCTAGGCTGCCTGTTACTGTGCTTTCCTTAAAGCTGGGTACATTCATATTTCATATTGTTACAATTTGAATATGATATAATAATATATGATTATATAAGGAAATGAGTTTGCACTGGCTTTTGCTGGAAATAAAAAGCTCATTAAACAAATGATACTTTCAAAGCGGTAAAGTAATGTCTCTACTCAGAGCAAAGAAATTATTCATATTATATTGACAAATGTTGATTTTCTTGTCAGGCCAGCAAAAACCACATGTTTTTACTTTTCTGTACTTAACTGATCTTATTTTTATAGGTATTTGGACTAATTGCTGGCCTTCTGTTTGCATATGACACCTACACAATTTTCTTACAAATCAAGGGCACAAGGCAGCACACAGCGGCATCTACTGGTGAGAAAAACTTACTACTAGTGCATAATACTAAAGCGTATTATCTGCCGTTCTTAACCCATGCATTGTCTTTGCTTTACAGATGACAGAGTTTAAAATACTCCTGGATGCATACTATTTTGTTATGAGAAGAAGAACAACAAAGAAATGTGTTTCAAACTAAAGCAAAGATGGACAGTGTAACAGGTCACAGTTAAAAATATGGTTTTGGGTGAGAATTGGATGTTATTAGTGATTGCATGGGGTTGTAGGAATGTTGGTTTAAATAGTGCATAATATCTGAGGGCATCTTCGAACAGAACTTCATGCACCACTGACATTTGCATCTGACACAATTTCTTATATTTTTAAATGGGTATTGTATTAACAGGCAGTATGGCTTAGTAGTAAATGTTCTATGGACTTTGGTTAATGGGTAGATGCTTTTAATGCTTTTACAAGTTGTTTAATATGTCCTAATTGAGAGTTTTTCAGCCAGCCATACTATTTTTTTTCTTTTTTTTTTTTTTTTACATTGTCATAACCATCTGCCCATTGTCGAAACATGACTTCACTTTTCATTATTTGAGATTTCTTTATAATTTTAAGCAAATTCTGTATTCTAATAGTCAGTGTAATGCCTCATTCATCAAGGAGTGATCCATGGTAAACATTTTGATAATTTTTTGACAACATATTTTTTGTATACGGTTCTCACTCAGGTTTTGTGTTTTTAATGTTTCAGTGGCACAAATGTTTTATTCACCACAGCTGTTCTGTTCTTTATGTGGCTTTCCATGCTTTTTTTTTTTTTACTTTGAAGGATGAAGACGAAGGACATTTCTGCATTTCTTCATACAACAAATTTTACAGTTTTTTTTTCAAATATGTGGAGTTTTTAACATCTTTCAACTGAGAGTTCTTTGGGGAAATAAAGCCATTAATAATAATATTACAATTTGGTTTCTTAATACAATTTCTTAATTACTGGTAATGCCTGCTGTTGTGTTCGATGTGATATGAGTGAGTAGTCTTTCCAGTAGGTGGCAGCAAATAGTTTATTTGACTATTCTATGACGGAATCACGTGGAGACTGCAACATTAACGCCAAGAAACACTAATAAAAATTAGATACACATGGTTCCAAAAGTATTTCTTATGATCATTATATTTATGCAGTTAAACACAGCCAATTTGCAATACTGTTATATCAGAGTCATCAAATACCATAAACATTTTGTAGCTATAGTGCAAAAACTTGATATCAAAATATATGTATATTTTTCTCATTACCATAGCTAAATATATTCCAGTAATATGTCCTATCCAACTATTTGACTTCCTAGTTGCGGTGGTGAGGTTGAGAGCAAACTTATCCTGTTTCTATGAGGTACAGGTATGAGTCAATCAAGTTAAACAGGTGGCGTTCGTCAAAGTCCGAATTTCAAAATAAAATCTAAAATATTCTTGCACATCCCTTATATAAAGCTAAATATAACAATTACCAATTACTAAAACACATGTTGTAATGCTAGTTTGTAAAATAAAGTCTATATTTTTGCATTTTACAATACAAAATCTAAATCTTAGGGGTAGATTTTCAGAGCCAAACCGGATGTTACCGTGTTAGTCTCTTTACGGTGTTTTCTCTTTATCTGCGCCAGCCAGAAGAGTTAGCCAGAGCGAAGCGAGGAGTCCGGGGTCGACATGTAGGAGTTTACCACACACTTCAAGACTTTGTTCCCACGCCTTATCGTCTTTTCCTCATGCTTTAATTGTTTTTTTTTTGTTGTTGTTTTTTTTTTACTTTTTGAAGAGCACAACAGCGCCATGTTTCTACGGGGCTCCAAAAAGCGAAGGTCAACGCGCTCTGTAAGTATTTTTTTCTCATACATTCACTTCTCCCGAGTTTTAGTTCTAATCATGTGTCTTCATTTAAAACAGTTCAACCTGTGTATGCCTCAAAATGAGTGATGTATTTGTTGTAAAGTCTCTCATAAAGGCACTTTCCGTCAGATTCGGTCCGTGCGTAATAGCTTCACCTGCACTTTATCGTCTAACTTTACGTTCCAGTGGATTGCCTCTTTGTCAGTTAACCTAACTATAAGTATCTTCATCTATTTTATAATTCTTAAAAATGTGTATTAAAAGTGTGTAGTGGGCACAAAGCAGCAACATTCTTTGTTTCTTAAGTCATTTGAGGCGCCCCAGGTGAGTCAAGAGGGTCGGACTACGTCATTGACTTTACCTGAGTGAGATGTTGCTCCTATTATGCCATACAAAGGTGGATAAAGTAGTAAAACATTGTAGTTAAGCGAGAGTACTTTTAAATAATTGTTCTCAAATGACTCATTTAGAATCATTCTCAAGTAGACTGAGTAACCATAAAAGAAAAAAGACAAAAAAGAAAAAGAAAGAAAGAAAAGAAGAAGGGCAACTTGCAAGAAATACATATGTTAATATTGTCAGAATAAATCTTTTGTCACTTATGAGAAAGATAAAAAAAACAAAAAAAAACACTATTCTTAATAGTCTTAGTAAACTACTCTTAAGTACAATGTATTCAAAAAAGTACATGTAACTTTTCTTCATTCTGCTCTTTAATTTTACTCTACTACCATTATGTTTGCGTCAGTCTACAACAGCTCAAGTGGGTGATCAAATGAAGTCAGATGAACAGATGTGCATGTAAAAACATCTGTCTCATTTGGACAGACTCCAGACAGTTATCCACTTAAATAGGGCTCTTGAACTAACAAATTTCTGAAGTGTTAAGATGTGTTTATGCCTGTGTAATAAATATTGAAATAGAACACACATTTTCTAAGTGGTTCAGGAGTAATTACACTAGCATGACACCTGTTGAGCTTGCCCCTAACAACAACACTATTAATATTTAATAAAATAGACCCTTTTCGGCATATTGTTTTAGTCATGTTACAAAACAAATATATGGTGAGTAAGTCTGATGACCAAGTGCCAACCAAGACAAGTTTATAATAATAATAATAATAATAATAATGGATTGTATTTATTAAAAGGAAGTTTTATGACTCACACACATGTATTTGTACAAAAAGTAAACACAGATAAATATAATGCATTAGTCATATGGCACTTTTCAAGATGATCAAAGCTGCTGTACAATTTAGGCTGACTGAAGTTAGGCTGTCAATCAATCAGTCCTTCCACCACCACTCACTCACCACATTCATTCAAGGCAAGGTGGCTGAAGTGTCTTGCCTAAGAAGACAACAACAGAATGCATAACAACAGAACCAAAATAGTATTCCCAGGGGTCTCCAATTCAGTTCTAACCAGGTCCAACCCTGTTTAGCTTCTGAGGTCAGATTAGATTGGGCATTCTCAAGGTTTAATGTACACAATATAATCCTATTAAAGTTTTTTGTAGTTCTAAAGAATTGCTTCAAGAGTTGGTGAGTTGCTTTGTAGCCAATTTCTAACAATTAACATATACATTTTCTGTTATAGACTTATAGTAATACACATATTCATCCAAATTAAATTTTTTATGTCTCTGCCCAATGTGCTTAGTTACTAAAATAAATAAATGCAAACAAAAACAAAACAAAAAAAACAAAACAATTGATACTTAGCAGCTGATGTTATGCTAGCTGAATACACTATTCTGTCTGAAGCTGTTACTCAGTTTTTTTCAGTTAGTCTCTCTCACCTTTGTGTTCAGCATCAAACATCTAAACAGGATCATTAGCCCTAATATTGATCACCTGCTCCTGCAAATGTGTTGTTAAAATTATTTTGTATTCAGATTAAAACGTTTTTTACAGTGTTTGCTAATGTGTGCATTGTGTCACCATGATAATTGCTGAATATTCCATAGCAGAGATACATGTATAGCACCCCCAGTCTGATGTCCTGCAAAGTGTCAATAGAAACGACGCAAATGCATGTAATTATTCAGTTGTATAACACTGCACCATGGACAAGTATCTGCGACTAACCAGACCTCTGTGTAGTTGTAAAGAATGACCACAGCTTTAATGTGTGTAAATATTAGCTTAAGGAATGCTGCCTCTGCCCAAATCTTAAAAAGATGTTAAACAAAGCGTCTTTTGCCACATAAAACCTTTTAACATAGTGATGGGTGGTAGGCCTGCAGGCTGTCTGTTTGAAGTCTTCCAGTGACAGAGGTCTCTAGTTTGCATGCCAAAGCTGAAGAAGGCCCTCACCTATGACCTCCTCTGTTAATGTTTAGCCCCACAAGAAGCAAAATCATGTGTGAAGTTGTGATTGAACCAGTCATAATAAATACTACAGTATATTTCTTACAATTCAATTAATGTTTGAAAAGCAATATTTTTGAGGGCTCAATTTATGTTGCGTACCTTTTCATTACACTTATGGGGGATAACTCATCTGATCAGGTATTGATATAAAAATATAAACACATAGATAAGAAATATAATAGGTCCTTTAGAATGGCCTTGGTATGTATTAGCACTTGTAAGGATTATTTGATCCTAAATTGAGGTCAGTTTAAACCTGATATGGACGTGGTTTGGCCCTGTTCTAGTCTTGGTTTAGTCCTGATCTAGTCCAGGTTAAGATTTGAGCATTTGAGTCAGATGGGGTTGAGTGACAGCAAATATTAATTAACCTCTACAACATTTCATTAAGCCATTTCAATATTGCAGCTTTAATTTTAAGTTTTTAAATTAATGAACAGGTTTATTAAAAAGATCATTATTTAAGAATGTCTTACTTTAGGGAGTATTTGTGACATGTAGTTTATTTATAGTTTATCATTTCTGTGCTATTAATTATCATGCATTTTCTCTAGCTGTCTATCACACTTTCAATTGTCTATCCCATTGTTTATGTTACAGGTCTAGTTGTGATCTTCCCAGAGAGTACTGTTCACCACACACTGTACTTACCTGGGCTAATGACATTGTAGTAGTATAAATTACCTGTTTGCTCATATTAGTGTAAGTGATACGGGCAGAGCCTTTGCACTTGATAACACAAAGCTAGGCAACTTTGTCCATTATCTGGTTACTATAGTAACTCTATATAGCAACCATGACCTTCCACTGCAAAAAATAAGTTCACTACCCTGTCAATTGTAATAATTTACTTAAATATTATGTTTTAAATACTTTAAATAACCTTGCATCGTGGTATTCTTTGCATGCTCTTTTGATCTTTTTCTATCTACATTTTAAAGAGCTGCCTATTTTTGAGAAGGTCTGACTAACTTTAAGTTTGTTTGACTTGTTTTTAAATGGGTTTTAGTTAAATTATCTGTTACCTTTTAGTGCAGTTTCCTTACTCTGTTTAGTTCTTCTTAGATGTGTGTAGTGCATTGGTTGAGGTTATGCCATCAGCCTGTCTTATTAGATATTCTAGTTCATTTGCATTGCTCCTCAATATGGTGACAAGCAGATGAAGCCAATTTACAGGTCAGATCTGTGCAGAGAAGACCTTGCTCACAGTAAGTTATTATTTATTATTTGTTTACACATAAATATGTGTAACTAAATAAATGCAAGAGAATAATACCATACTGTGGAACATTTCTGTACTAATATTTACATGGAAACAGATCAGGCTTAAAAACACTGAAACTATTTAAACCAAATAGATAGAATAGATATAAAATATTAATATTTTGCCTGGAATGTTTCGCAGCAAAGCATTAAACTTATCAGCCTTGCATTTTTTTAATCATGGATGTTTCTGTTGCTCAAGAATACTTTGAAAAACTGTTTGCAGGGTCACCTCTCCACAGATCTGACTTGCAACTTGGCCTGGTGGTGTCACTTGATTGCCTCCATGAAGAGAGACAAATTGAGTGCCATACTGTCAAACATTCCAAGCAAAGTAATTCCACCACCATAGACAAGCAGGCGGCAGACCCTCCTCCTGGAAAGTTACATAGTGCACCTTTAACTGCCCTTTTGGCCATCCAAACAAAGTCGTGCCATGTGGGTATCTATACAGTGAAAACAAAAGATATGAAAAGTGCTTGTAGCTTGTGATGGGAACCTTAGTGTGTTATTGACTTTACTCACAGTTCATTGAGAAGCGACTTCCTCCCACCACTCCCAAGACATCCTTCATTTTTGGTACAATAGGAGACGTTATCTTTTACCAAAGCTGAAAAGACATGCTTACAAGTATGCACAAGTAAATTACAGACTTACCTCCTATGTATACTGTCTTCTGCAGAGATGAAATAAGAGCAAGGAGGACCAGGAATGTGAATTAAAGGGCTAAAATGCACGTAAATGTTATCTGTTGATTTGCTATTTGCTTCAACCAGATGTTAAACCTAAAATCTTATATCTCCTTATTGGGTTCCATGATTTTATGTTAACCTTATAGAGCTTATTTGAATAGCGGTGCACTAAAATATTTATGAGTATATAAATTAATCTTAGATTTTTTTATTATCGACTCCATCATAAATTGCAAATAAGTAGACTTGTCACGGTAACACATCTTGAAGCACAGAGACGTATAACAATAATATTTTCAATAGAGAATATAATTAGAAGACCTGAACAGCAACAAATAAACAGCAGAATGAAACAATAATTAGCCATAAAAGTTAATTATTCAATCCTCTGCAGTTCAAGTGTTATGGCATTACAACTTAAATAACTAAATCTCCCCGTTATTGCAAAGAAAATGTACCTACAATAAATATTGAGCACAAAAATAGCTATCATATATTGAAGGATAAGTCAATATAATCATTACTGTGACAGACCTAGAAATAAAGCAAAGTATACTTGTTCCACATTAAGTATATACATACAAGACAATATCATATTAATAATAATATATGAATAACCTCTGAAAAGTCACTCAGAAATATATCTTTT